CCATTAGGAACTGCCACAACAAAGACAAGAATCTGAAGATTGAAGATAGCTACATTGCACCTTTTGTTCTATTGCCTTCCACTAGGCATGTTTCACTTCTCTCAGGCCTGTTAAACTGGCTAAACCAGATTGTACTTCCAACTGCAAAATGCTTTGGTAAAACACAAATGCAAAGATCTCCACACAAGTTTGAGCGGTCTCTGGGTTACAAACAAAATAGGTTCTGTACATTTGTTCTTAAGGTGAAGTTGTATGTAAGTCAGAACAGGTACATCTTCTAAGTGCAACTCCATATATATCTATTTCTATGAACACATATTTGGATAGCATATGAAAGGGTTAACACCCCTGTGTGTTTGTTTTACCGTCTCTACCCCTGTTCAGAAGATTTCACTTCAGTCTGTCCCTCTGACAAGTGCATGTTGGAAATTTTGGGTTGTCATGAAAACAAGGATTGGAGATAAAGCTTCAGTGGAGACACCTTTTCCCCATAATAACTTTCCAGGAGTGAATTTCCCTTCTGCGGGTAGATTTCCTCTCACTTCCTTTTGTCTCCTACTCCTTTGTAGTTATATAGTCAAAAGTAAGGGCAGTTATATGGATTTATGCTCAGGAACAAGTCTAACTGTATTCAGTAAGGTTTACTCCTAGGAAAAGAAGGCATAAGTTGTTGCTGTGTACCTTCAACTTGTTTCCAAGTTATGGAAACCCTGTCATGAGGTTTTCCTGGTAGGATTTGTACAGAGAGGGTTTTCCATTGACTTCCTCTGAGGGTTTGTTTGTTTTGTTTTGTATCAGGAGCGACTTGAGAAACTGCAAGCTACTTCTGGTGTGAGAGAATTGACCGTCTGCAAGGATGTTGTCCAGGGGATGCCCGGATGTTTTACCATCTTTGTGGGAGGCTTCTCTCATGTCCCCGCATGGGGAACTGGAGCTGACAGAGGGAGCTCATCTGCGCTCTCCCCATAGAATCATAGAATCATAGAATCAAAGAGTTGGAAGAGACCTCATGGGCCTGCAGTCCAACCCCCTGCCAAGAAGCAGGAATGTTGCATTCAAATCACCCCTGACAGATAGCCATCCAGCCTCTGTTTAAAAGCTTCCAAAGAAGGAGCCTCCACCACACTCCGGGGCAGAGAGTTCCACTGCTGAACGGCTCTCACAGTCAGGAAGTTCTTCCTCGTGTTCAGATGGAATCTCCTCTCTTGTAGTTTGAAGCCATTGTTCTGCGTCCTAGTCTCCAAGGAAGCAGAAAACAAGCTTGCTCCCTCCTCCCTGTGGCTTCTTCTCACATATTTATACATGGCTATCATATCCCCTCTCAGCCTTCTCTTCTTCAGGCTTTTGAACCTCTGACCTGTCAGTCTTCAGTCCTGCCAGCACAAGGGTTTAACTCAATAGTTCTCAACCTTCCTAATTCCACGACCCCTTAATACAGTTTCTCATGTTGTGGTGACCACCAAGCATAAAATTATTTTCGTCGCTACTTCATAATTGTAATTTTGCTACTGTTATGAATTGTAATGTAAATATCTCCCATGACTGACAGTAAATACTGGAAGGCTTTGGTGGGCTTTGACCTTGAGTTTTGGAGTTGTAATTGACCTACATCCAGTGAGCACTGTGGACTCAAACAATGATGGATCTTGACCAAATTTGGCACAAATACTCAATCTGCCTAAATGTGAACACACTGGTGGAGTTTGAGGAAAATAGACCCGTGACATTTGGGAGATGTAGTTGTTGGGATTTATAGTTCATCTCCAATCAAAGCACATTCTCACAAATGATAGAACTGGGCCAAAATTCCCACATAGAACCCCCATGACCAACAGAAAATACTGTGTTTTTTTTATGGTTTTTGGCGACCTGTCTGACATCCCTTCACGACCCCCCCTGGGGTCCCGACCCCCAGGTTGAGAAACGCTGGTAACCCATTGAGCCACCGGGGCCTCCTTTCCTCTGACTTGTCATAGCTCACCCTGTGGGTTTTATGGCTGAAAGAGGATTTGAACTCTGATCTCCAGAGTCTTAATCCAATTCCCAAACCACAAGAAACACTGTAACTTAGGTCTTATTGACACTGCCATATTGTGCAGTTTGGAACTATGTTATATGGTCAGTATAAACTCATCTAATGCAGTTTAACTGTACAGAACTGCAGTTTCAAATGGCAATGCAGATGGGAATGAAGTACTACTGCCATCTGGTGGCTATGCCCCAGACTGCTATTTAGGAAATGAGTACTGTCTTTAGTGTTGACTGGTTAGATGTAGGAGTTGTCTTGTTACTTCTGTCTCACTAGAGTAATATTGGTTTTGCAATGCTCGGATTTTAGCTATGGGGAAAGAATAGATACTGAAAGTCCAAAGTAAGTTCTTTAACATCTCTGGTAAAAGACTCTCTGCTTCATTTTCCCTTGAAGGCGTAAGTTGTCTGGCTGAGTCATAAACCTTATCAATTGCAAGTTGATAAGTTGTCAATGTCCTTTTCTTTGGAGGCCCAGTTACTCCAGTTTTGAAAGGATTTATGTTGGCAAGCGACAAAGTCTTCTTTGTTTTGCAAAGCTTTTATCTTGATTTGAGAAGTCCATGACTAGTGGTGGATATTTTTAATTGGCTGTATGCTTTTTTTGCCAAAGAGCCAACATGGTATAATGGCTTGAGCATTGAATTCAGACTCCAGCACTAAAGGGTTCGGATCACTACTTGACTGTGGAAGCCCACTAGGTAAGCTTGGACAAATAAATAGTAGATGGCATTTTGGTTTGGATATTTACAGATTCTCAGACAAAACAAACCCAGTATTGGGTTGCGAGATCTGTTTTCACATGCAGTAAGCCCTCAAAATAAGGGCTCTAGGGTTTGATTCCAGGACCACTATGAGTTCCAAAATCAGTGGGTACTGAAGTCCCATAATATAAAATGACATAGTAAAATAGTATGCCTTATATAAAATGACAAAATCAAGGTTAGCTTTTGGGAATTTAATTTTTTGGAGCATTTTCAAGTTGTGTATGATTGGATCCATTAATTCAAAATCACTGGATATGGAGGGCCAACTGTATGCAAAGTACATCCCTTGGGCAACATCCTTGCTGACAGTCAATTCTCTCACACCAGAAGTGACTTGCAGTTTCTCAAGTCCCTCCTGGCATGAAAAAAAAATCTGGGTGAACTCCAAAAGGGGGCCTAGACAGAGAAGGATAGTCCATTTCCTTTGCAGATGCTCCAGTCCACTAGATTGAATGTCCATCTGTTGGGAATGCTTTGATTGTGCTTTTCCTGCATGGCAGAAGGGGTTTACACTGGGTGGCCCTTTTGGGGGTCTTTTCCAACCATATGATTCTGATGCCCCAGTTCTCTCAGGGATGCTTTCCTTTGCAGATGGTCCAATCCTCTAGACTGGATGGCCATCTGTCAAGAATGCTTTGATTGTGCTTTTCCTGCATGGCAGAAGGGGTTTACACTGGATGGCCCTTTTGGGGGTCTCTTCCAACTCTATGATTCTATGATGGCCCAGTTTTCTTAGGAATGCTCTCCTTTGCAGATGGTCCAATCCACTAGATTGGGTGTCCAGCTGTCATGAATGTTTGATTGTGTGTTCCTACATGGCAGAAGGGATTTGCAATGGATGGCCCTTTTGGGGGTCTCTCCCAACTCTATGGTTCTGATGTCCCAGTTCTCTCAGGGATGCTTTCCTTTGCAGATGATCCAATCCACTAGACTAGATGGTCATCTGTTAGTGGTGCTTTGATGGAGTGTGGCAACAGGCAGAAGGAGTTTGCACTGGATGGCCCTTGGGGTCTCTTCCAACTCTAGGATTCTGATGTCCCAGTTCTCTCAAGAATGCTCTCCTTTGCAAATGGTCCAATCCACTGGACTGGATGTCTGTCTGCCAGGAATGCTTTGATGGTGTGTTCCTACATGCACTGGATGGACTTTCTGGGTCTCTTCCTACTCAATAGTTCTGATTTCCCAGTTCTCTCAGGGATGCTTTCCTTTGCAGATGATCCAATCCACTAGACTGGATGTCCATTTATCAGGAATGCTTTGATGGTGTGTTCCTACATGCACTGGGTGGCCTCTGTGGGTCTCTCCCAACTCTAGGGTTCTGATGTCCCAGTTCTCTCAAGGATGCTTTCCTTTGAAGATGGTCCAATCCACTAGACTGGATGTCCATCTGTCAGGAATGCTCTGATGGTGTGTTCCTACATGCACTGGATGGCCCTTTTGGGGGTCTCTTCCAACTCTATGTTTCTGATGTCCCAGTTCTCTCAGGGATGATTTCTTTTGCAGATGGTCCAATCCACTGGACTAGATGGTCATCTGTTGGTGGTGCTTTGATGGTGTGTTCCAACAGGTAGAAGGGGTTTGCATTGGATGGCCTTTTTGGGGGTCTCTTCCAATCATATGATTATGATGTACTGGTTCTCTCAGGGATGCTCTCCTTTGCATATGGTCCAATCCACTAGACTGGATGACCATCTGTCAGGAATGCTTTGATGGTGTGTTCCTACATGCACCGGATGGCCTTTGTGGGTCTCTTCCAACTCTATGATTCTGATGTCCCAGATCCCTCAGGGATGCTTTCCTTTGCAGATGGTCCAATCCATTAGACTAGATGGTCATCTGTTGGTGGTGCTTTGATTGTGTTTTTCCTGTATGGCAGAAGGGGTTTGCACTGGATGACCCTTTGGGGGGTCTCTTCCAACTCTAGGGTTCTGATGTCCCAGTTCTCTCAAGGATGTTTTCCTTTGTAGATTGTCCAGTCCACTAGACTGGACGTCCATCTGTCAGGAATGCTTTGATTGTGCTTTTCCTGCTTGGCAGAAGGGTGTTGCACTGGGTGGCCCTTGAGGTCCCTTCTAACTCTCGGGTTCTGTGATTCTCACCCGCTGCAATGCCTGGGACTCTTTTCTTCCTCCCTCTGTCCCCTTTTTCTTTCCTTCCTTCCTCTCCTCCTGTTCTTCCTTCCCTGCTCTTTTCCTCCGCCTCTCTTCCCTTGGAAGCTCTCTATGACCCGGACGCCCGTGCGCGGTGGAGCTCGGGGGAGTGGCTCCTTTCCTCGGGTGTTTTCCTGCCTCCATCGTGGGGCCAGCCAGCGGATGGGATGCGGTGAGAGAAGGTAAGGGAAGAGGGGGATCCGGGCCCTTTTGGAGGGAGGGGGAAAGTTTGCCTTCTCAGCCTTCCCCCTTGGCTTTGAACAGGGGCAGGAAAGGAGTGGGGTGGGCTGCAGAGAGAGAGGGAGGGAGAGAGGGAGGGAGACCCACTTTGGGTGGGTGTCTTGACTGCTTGTGCTTGTGCTGCTTTAACTCCTCTTCTAGAATATGTAGGTCCTGCAGCACACACACACACCCTGCTTTTGTTCCAGTCCTTTTGGCATTCCTGCTGAAGTCTTTCCTGATTTCAGGTGGGAAAGGATCCCTTGCAATCCCTGCCTTGCCTCTTTGTGTCTCAGAGCAGAAAGCACAGCCTAGGCGGAGGACATCAGGAAGATGCTTTCAGGGGCAGAGAACACAGTGCAAGAAGGGCAATTAATAGAATTAGAAGAGACCACAAAAGCCAACTCCATTCTGTTGTACGCAAAGCTTTAGGAGTTTAGGTTCTGCCTGCTGAATTGGATCAAAGCTTTCCAAACATTCCGTGTTGGTGACACACTTTCCAGACATGCATCATTTCGCGACACCATCATTCGGTTTTACTCGCAAAGTGGAGGTTAAACTAACTTCCTTCCACACAGCTGTATAAAATCCACATTGAACTGGTTTATATGGCGGTGTGGACTAAGATAACTCAATTCAGATAATAATAATAATAATAATAATAATAATAATAATAATAATAATAATAATAAGCTGACACAGTATGAGGATTTAAAGATGAAACTGCAAAGACTCTGGCACAAGCCAGTCAAGGTGGTCCCAGTGATGATCGTCACACTGGGTGCAGTGCCTAAAGACCTTGGCCTGCACTTAAACACAATCACTGCTAACAAGATTACCATCTGCCAGCTGCAGAAGGCCACCCTACTGGGATCTGCATGCATTATTCGCCAATACATCACACAATCCTAGACACTTGGGAAGTGTCCGACRTGTGATCCAATCCAACAGCCAGCAGAGTGATGTTGTCTGCTGTGGACTCATCTTGTTGAGTTTCAAATAATAATAATAATAATAATAATAATAATAATAATAATAATGACAGTGGTGATTGGCACACTGGGTGCAGTGCCTAAAGACCTCGGCCTGCACTTAAACACAATCAGCGCTGACAAGATTACCATCTGCCAGCTGCAGAAATGCCACCATACTGGGATCTGCATGCATTATTCGCYGATACATCACACAGTCCTAGACACTTGGGAAGTGTCCAATGTGTGATCCAATACAACAGCCAGCAGAGTGATCTTGTTTGCTGTGGATTCMTCCTGTTGTGTTGTTGTTGTTGTTGATAATRATAATAATAAACTTTATTTATACACCGGACCATCTCCCAACAAGGGACTCAGAGCAGCTTACAGTCMTAAAAACATAGCAGATAACTTAAAACAAAATAAGTAACATGCCACATTTAAAACAATCACAAAATTAACACAATACAACAGATGCATTTTGTGGATTATCTGCCTTGACATTCTGGGTTCCATGTCAGGGTGGTAAAGCCCTTTGAAGAGCTATGGACACATACACAAATGGTCATCATGAAATGTATGGGGGCACAATGTATCTTGTGAAAGCCTTTCACACAAACACAGACACATATATAATATGACTAGCCGTCCCCTGCTATGCGTTTCTGTGACCCAGTCTGGTGATCTGGAAAATAAAGTGGTGAGAAAGTGTTGGTTTCTAATATACGTAATTTCTTTAAACAGTATTGTTTTTTCTTTCTCAGTGTTGATGTGGAGATTGTCTGGTTTGTCTACTCTGGAACATGATATATATATATATATATGTCTTTCTTCCAGGGTCTCTTTCAAATCTATGATATTGTATCTCTGTGTGTGAATCATATATATCTAATCTATCTATCTCTATGGCTGGATGGCTCTTTGTCAGGAGGGCTTTGATTACGTTTCCTTGCCCTGGTGAAGGGAGTTGGTCTGGATGGCCTTAAGTATTTTCTGTTGGTCATGGGGGTTCTGTGTGGGAAGTTTACCCCAATTCTGTCGTTCGTGGGGTTCAGAATGCTCTTTGATTGTAGGTGAACTATAAATCCTAGTAACTACAACTCCCAAATGTCAAGGTCTATTTTCCCCAAACTCCATTGTGTTCATATTTGGACATATGGAATATTCATGCCAATTTTGGTCCAGATCCATCATTGTTTGAGTCCTTAGTGCTCTCTGGATGTAGGTGAACTACAACTCCCAAACCGAGGTCAGTGGCCACCAAACCCTTCTACTGTTTTTTGTTGGACATAGGAGCCCTGTGTGCCATGTTTGGTTCAATTCAGAATGCTCTTTGATTGTAGGTTATCTATAAATCCCAGCAACCATAACTCCCAAATGACAAAATCATTTTTTTAAGTGATGGTCACTCCTTGGGTTAATAGGTGTCTTGTGTCCAAAGTTGGCAGCAATTTATCCAGTGGGTTTTGAGTTATGTCAATCCCACAAATGAACATTACATTTTTATTTATATAGATCTGTAAGATAATATATATTTCCAAGACTTTTGTCATTTCTTATTACATTTGCATGGCACTCCTACACACTGCAGCCGGCACACTTAGTGTATGACAGCACACAGTTTGGAAAACTGTAATATAATACAACGCAAGTGTATTGAAATATATCATTTCTGACGTGCTAATTCCGTCTGCAAAATGCTGGAAGAGCTCTGGCTTTTGTATTTGTAACGATAATAATAGTATAATTATAATAATGGAGCCCCCGGTGGCGCAGCGGGTTAAAACACTGAGCTGCTGAACTTGCTGACTGAAAGGTTGGTGGTTCAGATTCGGGGAGCAGGGTGAGCTCCTGCTGTTAGCCCCAACTTCTGCCAACCTAGTGTTCAAAAACATGCAAACTTGAGTAGCTCAATAGGTACCACTTTTATGGGAAGGTAATGGTGCTCCATGAAGTCATGCTGGCCACATGACCTTGGAGGTGTCTACAGACAACACTGGCTCTTCGGCTTAGGAATGGAGATGAGCATCACCCCAGAGTTGGACGTGACTAGACTTCATGTCAAGGGGAAATCTTTACCTTTAGTTTTTAATAATAACAATACCAATAATAATATATTAGTAATAAGAAGAATGTAAAATATAACAATAATAATCATGAATTTATTAACTGCCTCTTCCTGCTGCTCGATATTTGGATCAAGCAGGCAAACTCTGGAGAGATCACAAATACAGAAGTTTCTGTTTAGTAAGGGAAACTATCTGCTTTGAACTGGATTATATGAGTCTACACTGCCAGATAATCTGGGATAAGAAGATAATCTGGGATAAGACCCTGGGGTATAGGGCAGAGTGGATCCGGCCTGAGCAAGCCATCCTCTCTCAGCCACCCGTGCCAAACCTCCTTGGGTCAAAGCTTTCCAAGAAAACTTCATAACAGGTTTGTTTGGGGATAAGTTAGAAATGACTTGAAGGCACACAACAACCACTTTCTAATGCAGTTTGCCTCATTGGTGGTGGATCTGGAACAAGGATGTTGTTTGCAGTCAGTTCAAAAGATAAAGATATAATCTTGTACAACTAGCTTGAGAGACCGGAATAAAAGGACAGACTCTTGTGCCTTATACATGAATTTGTCCTTAAGATGCCACTAGGCATTCAATAATTTTGGATGGAAGGTTTCAAGGTTTTCTTTAAGTTACACTCCGGGAAGTTGGAAGACAATGTATTTCAAATAAGAATCTGATGTGTAGACTCACGGATTTGCCCAGATGACTCATCCACATCATGTTTTCTGCTTGCACACCCCCTCCTACCATATGTGCTGTGAACCCACAGAGGTCTTAAACTCTGGAATGAATTTGTCTGTGAAGATATGTGAGCCGTTTCCTTGCACTGAGAGGGACCTAGTTGTTGTTAAGAAGCACTTTAATGGACGAACGCAATGGCCCTTCGCAGGCATGGGCAAACTTTGGCCCTCCAGGCATTTTGAACTTCAACTCCCAGAAATGCCAGCCAGTTTACTAGATGTTAGGAATTGTAGGATGTAGCCCACGATGGCGCAGTGGGTTAAACCACTGACCTGCTAAACTTGTTGACCAAAAGGTTGCATGTTCGAATCTGGGGAGTGGCGTGAGCTTCTGCTGTCAGACTCAGCTTCTGCCAACCTAGCAGTTCAAAAATATGCAAATGTGAGTAGATCAATAGGTTCCAGCGGGAAGGTAACGGCGCTCCATGCAGTCATGCCAGCCACAGGACCTTGGAGGTGTCTACGGACAACGCCGGCTCTTTGGCTTAGAAATGGAAATGAGCACCAAACCCCAGAGTTGGACACGACTGGACTTAATGTCAGGGGGAAACCTTTACCTTTTACTAGGAATTGTAGGAGTTGAAGTCTGAAACAATTGGAGGGCCAAAGTTTGCTCATGCCTGCTTTAGAGACTCTCTGATAATAATCCTCAAATTGGTGAGCCAAACAATAGACAGGCATTATTCCTCTCTACAACAACAACAACAACAACAACAACAACAATGTTTTGGAACACAATACACCAGACATCACAATTGTGGAAAAGAAAAAAGTCTGGATTATTGATGTCGCCATACCGGGTGACAGCCGCATTGAGGAAAAACAACAGGAAAAACTCAGCCGCTATCAAGACCTCAAAATCGAATTGCAAAGGCTCTTGCATAAACCAGCACAGGTGGTCCCAGTGGTCATTGGCGCACTGGGTGCAGTGCCAAAAGATCTCAGCCGGCATTTGGAAACAATAAACATTGACAAAATCACGATCTGTCAACTGCAAAAGGCCATCTTACTTGGATCTGCACTCATCATTAGAAAATATATCACACAGTCCTAGACACATGGGAAGTGTTTTACTTGTGATTTTGTGATACGAAATCCAGCATATAGATCTCGTTTGCTGTGACATACTGTGCTTTTGTGTCAATAATAATAATAATAATACTTTATTTATATACYGCTTCATCTCCCTGAGGGGGACTCATGGTGGTTTCCAAGCAACATCACCAAAACATACAGAGTAAACAGCATGACATAAAATTAACAAAACAACATAAGCATAAAATTATCWCAATAACACACATATATTTTTTAAAAATCATTCTCTTCCTCAAAGTGTTCTCAACCTGACACAGGACATAGCTGGAAGGAGTGAAGTTTTATTTACTTTTCCATGGGGCATTTTCAGAAGCCAAGTTCACCCCTAYTCGCTCCCTGTCTGTGTCCAAGCACAGTTGTGTGTCTTCAAGTCATTTCTGATTAATGGCAGTCTTATCACGGGGTCTTCTTAGCAAGATTGGTTCCAAGGAGAGTTRCCTTTGMCTTCCTCTGCGGCTGAGAGAGTGTGACATGCCCAAGGTCATCCACTGGGTTGGTCTCCAGAATCCTGCTCCCARTGTTCAAGCCACCACACTTGCTAGCTCTCGCGTAGGCGTTAATACTTCAGAGACATTAACAAAATATGTTACTTTGCATTCTTATTATCAAGTGTCAGGCTGTTCAAAAAAGGAGACCATTTTGCATCACACAAAACAGCATGGACAAGACACTGAATAGTGATGAAAGACTGAATCCAAATCTCAACATTTCAAAACTTGAGTTTTACCTGATGTATACATTTATACATTGGCACACACACACCACTCAGGTTTAACATAGCTTTCCCCAAATTAATGCCTTCCAGATAAATTGGACTATATTCCCCATCATCTCCAGCTAGCTTTGCGAAGGGATATGCAAGGTTGAGATAATTAGGATTTTAAAGCAGCATGTCTCGAGATCGCCAGTTGGGAGAACTGGAGGCCCCTTTTACACTGCTCTATATCCCAGGATCTGATCCCAGATTATCTGTTTATCTCAGATGATATGGCAGTGGAGATCTATATAATCAAGTTCAAAGCAGATAATCTGGGATCAGATCCTGGGATACAGGGCAGTGTAGAAAGGGGATAAGGTTGGATCTGCACTGCCCTATGTCCCAGGGTCTGATCCCATGTTATCTTCTTATCCCAGATTATATGGCAATGGAGACTTATATAATCCAGTTCAAAGCAGATAATCTGGGATCAGATCCTGGAATACAGGGCCGTGTAGATGGGGGATAAGGTTGGATCTGCACTGCCCTATGTCCCAGGATATGATCCCATGTTATCTTTTTATCCCAGATTATATGGCAGTGGAGACTCATATAATCCTGTTCAAAGCAGATAATCTGGAGTTAGATCCAGGGATATAGGACAGTGTAGATCTAGCCTGGGGCTGAATCTACCTTGCTGTATAATTCAGTTTGAACTGCATTATATGATCAGTGCTGAGATCTACAAAATGCAGCTTAACTACTCTGGGTCTACACTGACCATATGCTATAGCTCGAAACTGCATTATATGGCAGGTAAAATCCAGCCTGGGTTTGTGTTTGTAACATAGCATTCCTGTCTATTTGAACTAGAAGACAGAACTGAAGGCATAATGATGACCTCTTAACCCAATTTTCCTGAAAGCATTTTTCTTAGAATTGCAATACGTATTGGAGAACGTTTAGACTTAATAGCCATCTTGAGAGTGCTTGTGCAAAGAGGCAGGACAAAAATAGTTAAATTAGACTCATTGGGTAAATTATCCTATCCTTTCCTGGGTAAATTATATTCTATTGTAGCGCTACTTGAAGAGAATCAGTCTGTGCGCTATTGACTGCTGGTCCACTAAGATTCCAGAAAAGGAAGAAATTGTTATGATCAATGTTCACAAATGTGGAGTGTGCTTCTAAAAGGTACCAAACCCATCTGAACAAGTTTTCCAGGAATTAAAAAAGTGTGCTGAGGATATGCATCTTTTTGCTATAATTCTGTTTTCCAAGCCCTGTACCAAAGTTATTTGATACGTATGGTCGAAGGCTTTCATGACCGGAATCACTGGGTTGTTGTAGGTTTTTCCGGGTTATATGGCCATGTTCTGGAGGCATTTTCTCCTGACGTTTCGCCTGCAGCTATGGCAAGCATCCTTATTTGATACGTTTTGACAGTTTTGTTCTGTACATAATATTCTACTCTGAATGATGCAGAGAGTGTTAGAGAATTGGGAAATATGCTAGTTTATAAAAGCTATTGTCCTCCCAACCCTGTTATATGCCTTCGAAACATGGACTGTCTACAGATGTCACACTCAACTCCTAGAACAATACCATCAGTGTTGCCTCCGAAAAATCTCTTGGGAAGACAGGCGGAGAAATGTCAACATGCTGGAAGAAGCAAAGACTACCAGCATTGAAGCGATGATCCTCCACCATAAACTATGCAGGACTGGCCACATTGACCAAATGCCTGATAACCGTCTCCCAAAGCAGTTACTCTACTCCCAACTCAGGAATGGAAAACGGAATGGTGGACAGGAAAAGAGATTTAAAGATGGGCTTAAAGCCAACCTTAAAAACCAGGAAGCCCTGGGCTTTGAGCTCTCTAACTGGAGGTCAGCTGTGACCAGCAGTGCTGCAGAATTTGAAGAGGCATGAATGGAGAATGAAAGAGAGAAATGTGCCAAGAGGAAGGTGCATCAAGCCAATCCTAACCAGGACCGCCTTCCTCCTGGAAACGGATGCCCTCAGTGTGGAAGAATATGCGGGTCAAGAATAGGGTTCCGCAGTCACCTACGTATCCAAGACACTACACTTGGAAGGCCATCATACTTGGACAACAAGGGATTGCCTATGTAAGTGCTCTGAATCAACAGTGTGCTGCCACCTATTTTTTATATACAGTATATAAAAATTTGATTTGGTATAATTTGGAAACAAACAAAAGTGAGATGGATTTATTGTAAGATCAGAAGTTATTCCTGTTGTGCTTTATACTGAATTATCTTTAGACGCATCTGGTATTATGCTTGTTTTAAAGTGGCTGGGCATAAGGTTTGTTCAGCCTTATTCAACTGATAGTCACAGACTGTTCAGCATTTTTGAAAATATAATGTTCTACATGCGGGAACATCATTTTCCTTCTGGTGTGAATATTTATAAAGTGCCAAGTCACACAGAGAGAAAATTGCCATTTAAAATACATTCATCTCACAAGGTGTTGTGGGAGTTGGGATCCTACAGGAAGCGTCATTCTGAAAATAGATCAAAAATGGATATGCATCTTGATTCATGCCTAGTTGCCTTCGGTCCCTCACGCTGGAGCTAAATTCATCATAAAACTGGTGGTTTTTTATCTGAATGGGTGTGTGAGTGAGAGATATAAATAGTAGCCCGTAAATGTTTGCTAGTGTAGCTCTCACAGAGAGCTATTTTAGGCCCCTTCTACAATGCCATATAATATCCATATTATTTGCTTTGAACTGGTTTATATGAGAGTGTAGATTCATATAATCCACATGCCCAAAAAACATCCCACATTATCTGCTTTGAATTGGAATATATGGCAGTGTGGACTCAGATATCCCAGTTCAAAGCAGATATTGTGGGATTTTCTGCCTTGATATTCTGGGTTATATGGCTGTGTGGAAGGGCCTCATGTGGTGATCCCCAACCATTAAGTTATTTTCGTTGCTACTTCATAACTGTAATTTTGCTACTGTAAATATCTGATATGCAGGATGTATTTTTATTTAGTGGACCAAGTTTGGCACAAATACCTGGTACACCCAAATTTGAATACTGGTGGGATTGCTTTGAGTCCCCCCAGGGGTGAGAAAGGTGGTATATAAATACTGTAAATAAATAAATAAATTGTGGGGGGGGGGTTGGTTTTGTCATTTGGGTTTGTAGTTGCTGGGATTTATAGTTCACCTACAATTGAAGAGCATTCTGAACTCCACCAACAATGGAATTGAACCAAACTTGGCACACAGAACTCCCACGACCAGTAGAAATACTGGAAGAGTTTTGTGGGCATTGACCTTGAATTTTGGAGTTGTAGTTCACCTACTTTCAGAGAAGTAGGTGAACTACAAGGTGAACTCTAGGTCAGGTTGAGAAACACTGACCTAGAGATTCCTAAAGAGAACTTTCTAGGAATTTCTAGGTCATCCAGTTCAATTATGTGGTCAACTTTTGGCATTTTTTAAAATTTTCAGTTTTCACTTTTGTAAGGGGCCCTGTGCCCCCAATGCCAACAAATGTGGAAGGTTGATTATATTCCACTAGCAAGCTGGTGTTCTTCTTGATGCTTATTGTTGTGTTTCACATGCACAGGTGGCAATGGAGATCAACGGGCTTCCGCTGGAGCTCTGGCGCCTGATACTGTCTTACTTGCGCCTTCCTGATCTCGGCCGGTGCAGCTTGGTGTGCAGGGCCTGGTACGAGCTCATCCTCAGCCTGGACAACACACGATGGCGGCAACTGTGCCTTGGTTGCATTGAGTGCCGTCACCCAAACTGGCCCAATCAGCCAGACGTTGAGCCTTGGTCCTGGAGGGAAGCCTTCAAGCAACATTATCTAGCCTCGAAAACCTGGACCAAAAACAGCCAAGACTTTGAGTCCTCCAACTGCTTCTACTTGTTCAGGAGGAAAAAGGACCGCCGTGTCCTTTCCGTGGGGCCTGGTTGTGAGTTTGACAACCTAAGGAGTGCCTTGCTCTCCGCGAGCGCTTACGACAGAATCGTGCTCTTGCCGGGAGTGTATGAGGAGCAGAGTGAGATTTTCCTCAAGGCCCCGGTGGAAATTATGGGGAAGGGAAAGCTCGGCGACGTGGCCCTCCTGGTGAGCTTTGACCAGCACTGTCCCACCATGAGGTTGTGCAATTTGATCTTCATGCCAGCTTGGTTCACACCTGTTGTCTATAAGGTGAGTGTGAATGCATTTGAGAATGCAGGTTATGTTACAGTGCTGGGGTTTTGTTAAGAGTAGCGGTGTGGAGGTGGGTCAGTTTGAAGCAAATGGGGCAATCCAATCATAGGTTCTCTGGTGCAACACAAGGAGTCTTATACTGCAGTCACCATATAATCTCCAGTCAACGTGCTGCCTTGTGAGATTTGCAGAACAGTGCCTTCACAGGGCCTCATAATCTGGGACAAATAAGTGTATTTAAAAATCATGGTACCTTAAGGAGACTCCAGACACAGAGCTGTCAGTCCCGGTAAATTCTCCCCTGGCATCCTGACAGGTTTGGTTGCAGCAGATCTTAGAAATCTGCCATGCTGGTGCCCACTGTGTAAATTCAAGCTCTGTTTAATTTCATAAACATCAGAACAAAGGAATGCTTGCAGAGCATTCTCACAGGAAGTGCTTTCCAATTGTTCTTCCATTTAGCCACCTATGTGTCTGTAGCTCCATTTGTTTACAGCCCTCATGAGCTGTTTTGGGATTTTTAAATATTTATATGCGCTGGAGCAGTCCATATTACCATATCAAAACGAAATCCTATGCTTTTCTTGAGTGCAGGGATGTAAAGTGATGCAAATATGCATGGTTTTTGGCCAAAATCGGATTTTAAGCACACTTTTTAGCACATGTTTTTCAGCTGTTAATGTGATCTAGCACACATTTTCGGCAAACACCATCTAGCCCCTGCCCCCAATTGCACTCTAACTGTAGACTACCTTTTTACTCGGCATCACACAGAGTCCAGAAGTAGCTAACTACAGTTTATTTACAAAAAAGCATATACAAAATGGAAATGGCAATTCCCAAAAGGCAGTAGAAAGGGTGCTATGAAATAGCAGTAGTCCAAAATACAAATATCAATAGTCCAAGATAGCAAGGTACAAATAAGCCATGAAGGTAAGATACATGAAATCTATGAAGTCAATAGCATAGGCATAAATCCATAAGCATGAAACAGGAACTTTTCCAAGACAAATCTATTTCAAGAATATAGGCAACTTTAGAGCTGAAAATGAACTTGATGTTATGGCAACGTTGTCTGCTCTGAATGGACCAGGAAAACACCACTCAATTTAAGCTCAAACATGACCGTGAAGCCATGACACCATCCCTTTGATGCTTGTGTTTCAAGAACTGCTTCTCACTGAGTCTTTCTGACTTCCTAATTAACCTTTTCTTTGCTCTCTCTGTGTGGAGGTATCGCAGGGTAACTCTTCATCTTCTGAAGACTGAGAAGGCCATGAAGGCCGATTCTCAGGATAAATGGGATCCCAAACATCCTCTATCTCTTCTGCAGCTGTTGGCCCTTCTCCCTAATCCAAGGCCTGCATTTCTGTCTGTGTTTCAGCCTGATCACACACAGACTCGGTGAAAAATCAATCATTCCCATCATCCTCCAAGGCAGCATCCCCAGCATCTTGTTACAGAACCCCAACACCCCACTTTTAGTCTGGTTTCGTCTGCATTTTAGGGCCTGTGTAGAAAGGCCCAAAGACATCAAGTGGATGATGGCTGCCATAGGAATTGAACAAGAGCTGCCTAAGTGAACTGTGATTTTTATTTCAAGCATGAAATCATTGCAGGTTGTCCCTGGTGCTTACTTTAGAGAGATGTATACCCTGAGTCTCCTGCTCCCTGCCTCCCTTTGCATAAGTAAAATAAGAGTCAGCTTAGAGATTCAGTGTCTCTATGGGCCAGGCTATCTGTGTTAAGGGAGTTCCTTTGGGAAAATGATGTATTGATATGTCTTGAGATGTTTGCTACTGTAAACTGGGTTGATCTGCCTGTATTGTTTTTCTTTAGACAACTTCCGGTCACGTCCAGTTTGACAACTGCAACTTTGAGAACAGTCAGCTGCAGATTCATGCCCCAGGAACCTGCCAGGTCAAATTCTGCACCTTCAACCAGTCCAGCATCAATGTCCACAGTGTGGCCATTTGCCTCCTGGAAAACTGTGAATTTGTCGGGAGTGAAAATGCCTCTGTGACGGTAGAAGGCTGCCCATCTTTGGACAGGAACTGGGCCTGCAAACACTTGTCCATGTTGGCAAAGTCGCGTTCTGTGTTGCTGCAGACTTCAGAGGCACCGTTTTGTAACATGACGAAGTTGGAAAGCCAGGGACACCTGCAGATAAGGAACACGAGGACCTGTGAGATTGTGGTGGGCGAGGACCTGGGTAATATATTCCCTGCTTCACAGATTCAAGGGATACCAAAGAGAGGATGTGAGAAGGAGAGTGATGTTACTGGGAATCCTAGTGTGGCGCACAAGGAGGAAGCGGTGACGATAGATACAGATTCCAGTGACAGCGAACTGAGCATAAGCAGCGAGAATGAGGATGACGATGAGTCAGTCTACAAACTGCCTTACCAGGCTCATAGCCTGAGTCACATGTTGGCCAAAGTTATTCATGGCAGGTTGCAAACCAACGGGTTAACAGCCCTCCAAAATGACTATGAGCTGAAAACACTGCCTCAGGAGCTGCAGAAAGACAAGGAGGCTCAGTCACTTGCCAGCTCAGTGCAAGGGTGCCTCATTCAGAAGTGCCTTTTCAGAGATGGGAAGGGAGGCGTCTTTGTTTGCTCCCAGGGACAAGCCAGAGTGGAGGGGAGCATCTTCAGGAACCTGACCTATGCAATGCGATGCATACAAAACAGTAAGGTGCTGTAAACGATGGGGAATGATCTCTTGTGCCATGGTTCAATCTGTGGTAGTGCTCAGTTGTGTTTTTCTTTTTCAGGCTGGTGTCCCAACAGCTTTGTGGTTGAACCCATACATAACTGTGAACATTTAATATCTCCTTGACCGCACTTAAAAAAAGGAGTCAACAGGTAGCCAGAAGCTAATGATTTTGGTTTTTTAAAAGTTGGATTCCGCAACCTTTAAAAATGATGCAAATAAGGCCCCTTCTACACTCCCCTATATCCCAGGATCTGATTCCAGATTACCTTCCTATCCCAGATTATGTGGCAGTGGAGACTCATATAATCCAGTTTAAAGCAGACAATCTGGGATCAGATCCTGGGATTTAGGGCAGTGTAGAAGGGGCCTAAGGTGCATGCATAATTTCTCTGATTTCCCTTGTGAAACTCATTGAAACCCCATCCATCTGACCATTGCAAGTCTTACCCAACAGCAAATCATAGATGCTTTTGATACATATTTTGCTAAACCAGTGGTTCTTAAACTGTGGGCTGCGGACCACCAGTGGACTGTGAGGATAAAAATCTGGTCCGCAAGCCTCCTTCCTCTTTATTTTATTTTATTTTATTTTATTTCCACTCCTTTCGTACTGCCTGCCACCCTTTCCCTGTCGCTGACCAGCCTCGACCCCTTGGATAGACCCACGTTGGCTCTTGGTTATGAAATATGGTTTTCTGTGGGTTAGCAGATGGCGGCTACTGGATGCCATATGTTTTGTATCAGAAACTAGAGCTGATGTGGTCTATCCAATGCAGTTTTCTGATTCAGCACACCAAATAACCAAACCCAATCTAAAGTTGACCAAAAATTGATTCGTAACCCCTTTGGTACTAATGTTGGAGAGTTGTTGTTGTTTTTTTTTGTTGTGTCAGGAGCGACTTGAGAAACTGCAAGTCACTTCTGGTGTGAGATAATTGGCCGTCTGCAAGGATGTTGCCCAGGGGACGCCTGAATGTTTTGATGGTCCTTGTGGGAGGCTTCTCTCATGTCCCTTCAATGGGGAACTGGAGCTGATAGAGGGAGCTCATCCACACTCTCCCTGGATTTGAACCTGTAACCTGTTGGTCTTCAGTCCTGCTGGCACAGTGTTTTAACCCACTGCGCCACCGGGGGCTCCAGTGTTGGAGAGTGATCCCTGGTCAAAGTGATCCCTGGTCAAAAAAAGGTTAGGAACCACTGTACTAAACAAATATATAAATGAGCACTGGACACTTGCTTTTTTTAAAACGAAAAGAAATGTGAGAACCGAGATTTCTAGGAAGTTGAATCTTGCAACTTGTTCATCCTTCCCGACAATGAAAGCACACACCCCACTGGTATGTATTATTGTCTGTATCAAAACCAGGAAGCTTCTTAACCCTTGAAAGGGCTGCATTTTGTCTGATGAGTCCAAGGCCTGAATTTCATTCATACAGCCTTCCTTTATGTGCAGGATGCTTTCTCTTTTTGGAGTGTAGTGCAAGTAATATGTTACCATATTGGGATTGAAAGATGACCAGTTATTTCAATCCCTTACTGTTTGGCATTAGGCTATTGACCATTCTTTCATCAGCAAACAATGCAACTTCTCTGGACCCTTCTACACTGCCATATATTCCAGATTAACAAATCAGATAATCCACATTATTTACTGTGAACAGGATTATATGAGTCTACACTGCCACATAATCCAGTTCAAAGCAGATAATCTGGATTTTATATAGCAGTGTATAAGGGGCCTCTAGCTCAAACGGGGTGGTGAGAATCATGCCTAAGAGGCAAAGCTAGGCTGTGGCAAGCTTCCTTGGGCTGACATTTCCACTGCAAAGAAATCAAAGATCTAGCCAAGAGAATTTTGGAAGTGTTTGGGGAGGATATGAAAGCAGTAGTGTAAGATTTATGCTTTCTGTGACAATTTATGGCTAGGTCATAAAGCAGTGGTTCTCAACCTGTGGGTCCCCAGATGTTTTGACCTTCAACTCCCAGAAATCCTAACAGCTGGTAAACTGGCTGCGATTTCTGGGTGTAGTAGGCCAAAACACCTGGGGACCCACAGGTTGAGAACCACCGTCTTAAAGACTGTGCACCTTTTTTGCCATTTGGTGCATCTATATTGTAAAATTAATGCAAATTGACAACATTTTCATTATCATGGCTCAATGCTATGGAATTCTGGGAATTGTAGTTCGGTGAGGCACCACCACTGTTGGCAGATACAATTAAAGATTGTAAAACTACAACTCCCATGCTTCCATAGCACTGAGCCATGGCAGTTAAAGTGTTGTAGATGCATCTTTAGTGACCAGCAGGGTGTTGAGATAAAATCGTTTTATGACCACAATTTGCAACTCAGAAAAGAAGCCTTGATATGTGAGGTTGCACAATTTCCAGGAGCTGATAATGGGGAAGATTTCTCCAAATTGTCTCGTGAACCAAGCAGTGCTTCATTTTAAAAACATTTCTTGGCCAAAAGGGCAGAAATTAAATGCAGAGATTGGGCATTCTTTAATCCACGGTTCTTGTGCTTGGAGCAAATTTTGCTTCCAAGCGAAGCATTAAGTGGGAGTTTGTGTGCCACTTGTTGCGTCATCCTTGTTCCCAGGTGAAAGGCTTTGTGATTACATCTTCATTTTTCTAAGGAGCCTTAGCCTTGCCTTTCCAAGTCAATAATTTGCTGCTCTCTCGCTTCAAAGGGAGGAGGAAAGGGTGTCAGGAGAGAGAATATCTCGAGGCTTTTAAATAGATGCTTCAGGCTGAAATGGAGGTTTTGTTTACATGAGTGTATACTTTAGCAATTGGATTCTTATTTGTTTTGTTCCGGTTTGCTGCATCCACCAGACTTGCAAGAGGGCAGACGTGTGAGAAATGGCGATCCCTGTTTCATTAATTAAGAATTTCTGAAGTGTGGGATAGGTGAGCCTTACTCCCAAGTGAGAACGTAAGGCCAAGGCAAAAGTGAATGGCTAAACACAAAATGGAACAGGATTCTTGCACGTATAGTAGCTGTGTTCAGAGCCAATGACTGCTTTTGGTGGGAGGATTCGCTATCTGTTTTCAGAAAGGAAGCGAAGGACAGATGGAGAGATCTTTAGCCTTCTCTGCCAAAGGGGTTCCTACGACCATCAGAAATATGTGTTTTCTAATGGTCTTTGATGATTCCTCTGAAACCCTCAGAGGTCCCAACCCCCAGGTTGAGAAACGCTGATCTAGTCCAACCCCTTGTCATACAGGAAATGCATAATCAAAGCACTCCTGACAGATGACCATACAAGGAAGCAGTCTCCAAGGAATCAGCTTCCACCACACTCCGAGACAGAGAGTTCCACCATTGAACAGCTCTTACGGACAAGCAGTTCTTCCTAATGTCCAGGTGGAATCACCTTCCTGTAATTGCTCAGGGTCCTAGTCTCCAGGGCAGCAGAAAACATGTTGATCACCTACCTATGATATTATTTATGATCGACCTGTTCTGTAATTTAATGGCCAGCAGACTTCTCTACTTGTTTATGATTACCTTGATTTGTCTGCAAGGGATTTTTCAGCTCTCCATTTTTAGGGGATAGTTTCTTCTCATTGGCTGAGGCTCCCCAGTCATTGCATACATGACTTTATTCTCAGGCTGTGGCTGCATAGACTTAGCAAACCAGCTTCTGTAAGCTGCCAAGGCTGATCCCTCGTAATCAAAGTTAAGATAGCTGTAAACACCTGTCAGCCTATTACTACCAGATAAAACTGTTTTCCTCTCTGTTAATACACTGGATTGCCAGGCTTAGTATTCAGATCAGAGCTTGACCACCGGGCCAGGCCAGTGGTGAGTGACTAATAGGGAAAGAAAGTCCGCCATCTTCCTCCCTTCCTCCCTGCATTTTAATTAACAGATTGGGGGTTGAGCTACCTTTTCAAATGAGCAAATACTGGAGTTGTAATTTAATTATCGTCTTGGATATGCAGGGCTCGCTAAGGCGAGGATATTGCAATTTGTAGATTTGTTTCTTTACGCTTGTCAGACATGGCTTTAAAGGTTTATTTAACTGGGAAAGAATTATATGCATGAATATTTAAGCCACTTATTTGCTCAAATAAAACAATTCCAGGATTAAAAGTGTCATCTTGGTTGAGGTCCCCCCCCCCCCCCCCCAATTTCACTGGCCTGTGTAGATTACATTTTAGGCAGTTGGTGTTTGCTTTTGCTGTCCTTTTGCTCTGTAAACTAATAATGTCTGACCTCTTTGTGATGCAAGAAATCAATTAATGAGAGTCTGCTGAGAGCAGAAACCATCAGCCTACAGGGGAGTCTGTCTGCTGCTTATTTTCTTAGTGGGCATCCTAGTGGGGAGAATTTTGTCATCTGAAAAGTAACTTTTCCAAGATCCACTAGCTGTGGGTAGGACTTCTCTCTCATCAACATGTCTATAGTTCTTTTTAGACATCTCTGAGGGACTTTCCATACAGCCATATTACCCAGAATATCAAGGCAGAACAACCCACAATATCTGCTTTGGACTGGAATATCGGAGTCCACACTGCCATATATCCAGTTCAAAGCAGATAATGTGGAATTTTATTCAGCTGTGTGGAAGGAGCCTGAGCTAGCCATCATCTGCCACCAATTTCTACAAGTTACCTACAGAGCAAATCTGGAAAATCAAAGGGTACAACGCCACATCTACTCTGCCTACTTAAGTCAGTGTAGATGAGGATGAGTGGCCAAATGTCACATGAGGCTGATCTCAGGTACTTCAATGCAGCCCTGCCCCACATTACTCAGAGTTGGAGGAATATCTGAATCCTTCTCTAGAATTTCAGATTCCTCTCAACTTAGGACGACTTGGACCAAATAAAACTGGCCACAACCATCCCTACTGCCATTCTGTGTTTCTCAGGCTCATGTCCCTGTCCCTTTCTGCTCCTTGCACCCCCTGTCACAACACAAGGTCTGTCTGACCTCTGTTGCTTGTAGTTACATTGACCAGGACACAAGGTCTCTGTTGCTTGTAGTCACATTGGCCTGGGCAATTGGGAGCAGTGGGAAATGAAGGAGGAAAGAATGGGGTTTTCCCTCCTCTCCCTATCCCCTTCCCCCAGCAGCCCTGTCATCTCAGTAAGCAATCGAAAATAGATAGGATTTGTGTTGTGGCAAATTCCTTGCAGATAAAACAATTAGCAATTCCAACGACCCTAAACCTCTGAGGATTAGGTGAGCCAAAACGTCAGGAGAGAATGCTTCTGCAACATGGCCAGACAGCCGGGAAAACTCACAGCAACCCAATCAGCAATTGCCTATCTGCTTCTGTATGAGAGAGTGTGTGCCAGTTGCTGGCAAATATTAGTGGGACCAGGTAATTGAACTCATGCCTTGCTTGGTGGCTTCTCAAATGAATGTCCACCAGGATCGTGGCTTGAGCGAGATCTTTAGTGTCATCCAACTCAGCTCTTCTTACTTTTTTATGTCCATAGACTTTTAAACTTCTCTTTAGTTTAATCTTACAAAGGAATGAGGCAATATCTTTTTAATTCTCATTATTTTTCATTTCCCCCCATTTTTCATACACTGATAATGGTGCTTGTGATGAGAAGCAGCCGTAGACATGCGTTCCCAATTGTGTTGGAAGCCTAGTCTCCCTGTAACCCTGAGTGTAACCTTGTAAAAAAGACAAGCAGTACTATCTTCACATATCAGGGATGAGCTTGAGATAATGAGATAACTCTGACTGGGATAAAAGTGGCAGAAACAAGATTTGGAACAGGAACGTCCGGTACTGTAGTTCAGACTCCCCGCTATTATACTGCACTTCCATCAATCTGATGTTAGCCTTAGTTCTCAGAATTTGTGCAGAGATAGGACAGCCATCTGCCAGGTATGATGTTGTAGTTGACAAGATAACCTTCAATGTTCACAACAACCCTGTGGTAGGTAAAGGTAAAAGTTTTCCCGGGGGCGGCTCAAGCCATTACGCAAAGTAAGCATTTGCAGTATAGTTGATTTTGCCCAGGGGCGCTCTTGGGGCGCTCTTGGGGGAAAATAGACCTTGACATATGCTACTGAGATGTATAGTTTACCTACAATCAAAGAGCATTCTGAACTCCACCAATGATGGAATTGAACCAAATATGGCACACAGAACTCCCACGACGAACAGAAAATATGTATCAGTGATTGGTTGGGGGGGGGGGGGGGGGGGGGGGGGGGGGGTGCCAAAATACTGTTTGCTTACCATTGAAAATTACCTAGGGCCACCTCTGGGTTTTCCCCTGACATTAAGTCCAGTTGCTTTCAACTCTGAGGGCTGGTGCTCATCTCCATTTCTAAGCCAAAGAGCTGGCATTGTCCATTGAGACCTCCTAGGTCATGGGGCCAGCATGACTACACGGAGCACTGTTACCTTCCCATTGGAGCGGTACCTATTGATCTACTCACGTTTGCATGTTTTTGAGCTGCTAGGTTAGCAGTCGCTGGGGCTAACAGCGGGAGCTCACGCCGCTCCTCGGATCCGAACCTCCGACCTTTTGGTCAGCAAGTTCAGCAGCTCAGCACTTTGACCCACTGCGCCACCGGGGGCTCCATAACCCCTGTGGTAGTATGCTTATAAAGACTTTCCCAGATAATAATAATATAATAATAACTTTTATTTTTACACCCTGCTAATCATCTCCCCTAGGGGTCTCGGGGTGGCTTGCAAGGGACCCACCCAAGATTACAATTAAAACACACATGTAAAACTCTTTAACCTATTAAAACATCAGATAAAACAAATAACAACACAATTGAAAGCAATATAAAAGCAATACAGCTGAAAGAAAGATAGCTGAGGTACAGATTACATTTTTACAGGATCTTTTTGTATCAATCCAGTTGGATAACATTCTTGCTCTCTTCACCTCCCCTTTAGATCATAATGCTGAAGAATGACATTCATCATTGCAAGACCTCAGGGATATTTCTGCGCCTTGGTGCAGGGGGCTTGATTGCAGAAAATAACATTCATTCCAACTGCGAAGCTGGTGTGGACATCCGGAAAGGAGCCAACCCTCTGATCCTGGTATTGAATCTCACCAATCTAGACTGGGTGTAATTCAATGTCAACACGGCAAATATTCCATTTCTGGAGTGTGATTGTTACTGGGTGTAGATATTTTTGACCAAGGAGAGGGAGATGGGAGGGGATGCCTACATCCACTGCTTCTTCAAGAGTTCCTTCTCAAGTGCAGTGGCAACCACTGAAATCGATGCTGGGAAAAAACAAAATGGTAATATGGGAGCTTAGGTTGGAGAGAGATAAGAAACAGCGTGGATGGACTAACTCAGCTGTTTTCCTCATTCATATGCCACCACTGTGTTGTTATCCTAAAGTTGAGACAGGTGCAGGTTAGATGTATAAGTTGATAGCTACAATAGGCCTAAATGTGCTGGCTTTGTTCCAAATTGATCTGTCTTTTCTATCTGGGAGAGGCCATGGGTGTGTTATCACTTGTGAATTGCAGTTTTTTTAAAAAGCTTCTCTGAGCTTTCACAGAATCATAGAATCAAAGAGTTGGAAGAGACCTCATGGGCCATCCAGTCCAACCCCTTGCCAAGAAGCAGGAATATTGCATTCAAATCACCCCTGAGAGATGGCCACCCAGCCTCTGTTTAAAAGCTTCCAAAGAAGGAGCCTCCACCACACTCCAGAGAGTTCCACTGCTGAACGGCTCTCACAGTCAGGAAGTGCTTCCTAATGTTCAGATGGAATCTCCTTTCTTGTAGTTTGAAGCCACCAAACTACTTTCTTGTAGTTTGACTTGGTTGTGTAACTTGGCTGCTTGTGTGCTATGGCCTTCGACAGTAACTTGAGTGGCAAAAATTAGCAGGTGAAGCTTTTCAAAGCGCAGAGTAAAACATTATTACTTGCTACACAAATCTGTAGCAAAGGTGCCACTGCAAAGCTGGCATGCCTGGTGGAAATGTTACTGATCTAACAAGGCTTCCGTCTTCTCCTTTACGTCTGCCCTAGATTTGGAAATTGCAGGATCCGATTATCTGTTTTTCTGATGAATTGATAGATGAAAATAGGCAAGGCGTGATGTAAATCATGCAGAAATTGAGGGAGAAGTAGCAGTGGGGGTGGTCAGAATGGAAATGCCAGGTTTTCTCCATGGAGACTCAAAACTGAATGTTCCAGGCGTAGATAAACTGTTTTTGTTTTTAAGAGCCTGGGCGCTTTGCTTCGTTTACTTGCTGACCTTCCTGCTATTGTTCCAAGTCCTTCACTTCATATGTTGGTTCTCTCCCTCCTTCCCTCTCTCCTTTTATTCGTTGTGCTGGGGCCCAAATAAAACACCAGTGTAATCGGATCCACAGTGGCCTTCGCTCCGGCATCGTTGTCCTTGGCAACGGAAAAGGCGTCATCCGTAGCAATCAAATATATGGAAATAAGGAGGCTGGCATTTACATTCTGTATAACGGCAACCCTCTGGTAAGGTAGGTGGTGAAGCTGGAGCCTTTCTTGCCATGTACAGTTCTCATTGCAGATGGGAAACGTGGGCACAAATGCGCACATCGGCTTATAAGAATAATAATACAAGTGTTTTGAAAGAGAGGAGGAAGATTTTTTGGTCTATCTTTACGCTGGTACTAGGTGTTGGGGAAATAGTTTTCACATGCCCTCGAAAACTTTGAGATCCTCTAGAACAGTGTTTCTCAACTTGGGGGTCGGGACCCCTGGGGGGGTCACAAGGGGTGTCAGAGACTATCAAAAACACAGTATTTTCTGGTCATGGGGGTTCTGTGTGGGAAGTTTGGCTCAATACTCTCGTTGGTGGGGTTCAGAATGCTATTTGATTGTAGGTGAACTATAAATCTCAGCAACTTCAACTCCCAAATTCCAAGATCTATTTCCCCAAAACTCCACCAGTGTTCACATTTGAGCACACTGAGTATTCGTGCCAAGTTTGGACCAGATCCATCATTGTTTGAGTCCACAGTGCTCTCTGGATGCAACACCAGCACTCCAAGTGGCCAACTACTGGTCAAAGGATATTTAATCAACTACCAAGCTTGCAAACTCTGTGTCTTTTGTATGTTTGTTTGTTTGTTCTGTCAAAAATGTAATACAACTGTTCGGTTGCCTGACAGGATAAATAAATAAATAAACAAATAAACAAACAACCAAATAAATAAATCTGGATGTAGGTGAACTACAACTCCCAAACTCAAGGTTAGTGCCCTTCCAGCATTTTCTGTTGGTCATGGGAGTTCTGTGTGCTAAGTTTGTTCAATTCCATTGTTGCTGGAGTTCAGAATGCTCTTTGATTATAGGTGAATTATAAATCCCAGCAACCACAACTCCCAAATGACGAAATCAATCCCACCTCCATAACCCCACCAGTATTCAAATTTGGGCATATCAGGTATTTGTGCCAAATTTGATCCAGTGAACGAAAATACATCCTGCAAGAAAAAAAGGAATGGAAGCCAGTGGGCACAAATATTTTGCCATTCCCTGACATAATAGGAAAAAAAATTGTTTGTCCATCAAATTAGTTAGCTTGAGAATTATAGTTCCATTTCATGGAAGGCAACAGTCAGGCTCACCAGGGTTTGGCCTTGAATATAGATTGTAGGTAATTTCCCTGCAGGTAATTTCAGATGCCTCAAATTGCCCATCATCCCAGGGCGCTTCCAGACAGTGTCAAAACTCGCACCAAAGTGGGTTTAAATAACCTGCTTCAGCTCAGGTTTCTGTCTACATCTACCCACCCACACCCGGGCTTTCCTAGACCACAGTGCACCAGAAAACTAGTGAAACAGGCATGCAGACTCAAGAGAGAAGTCTATTATAAATAGGTACCGACTGCCTCAGAATAATTAGCATAGCAATAATATCTTCTTTGGCATAACAAGTCTCCTAGATAATCAGAGCAACGCCACTGGTTTTGTTTTAAGAGTGACAAAATGATCTTGATTATAATGGGTGCTGTATTGGGACTGGCTGTTGACACCATGCCTAGGAACCAAACTGAAATCTCTACACTGAGCTGTTTTGTTCTTTGACACGTATTTCCATAGACTTAATAATTGCATCATAATCATCCCCCTTGAGACAGCCGGTTATTTAGAAATTGCTACAAAGCTGACAGGTCTGCTTCCCATCTATTTCAGAAGAGAGTACAATCTTGACCGTACCAATTTGGAGATTAGTAAAATCTGACTCATCCTTCTCAATTGTGCTATTATGCTAGAATGAGATGCTCTCAGATACTAAAGCATGCTTGTTGTTGTTCCTCCCCCTCTGCCTTTGAACAACTTGTGATTATATTCATTTGAGCAGGATCTTTGTCATGATAAAAACTTGTGAATTAGGTCCCCTCTACACTGCCATATAAAATCCAAATTATCTGCTTTGAACTGGATTTTATGGCAGTGTGGACATTTTATTTGTGATATTTATAGCCCGCCTTTCTCAGCTATACGGCGACTCGAGGCGGGTTACAGATTGGCAGTTCCAAGCATGTAGAGTATCTGATTTGATAATCTGGATTATATGGCAGTGTAGAAGGGGCCTTAAAGACATGGGTATGGAGGAGAGAGAGAGTTTTGTAAAGCTCTGTTCCTTGATAATCCATTTTGAGCAAACCTTTAATACAGTTAATACAGTTTTCTCTTGGTTTTTTTGGGGTTTTTTTGTTTTTTGTTCCAGTGGAAACCACATCTTCCAGGGTTTGGCTGCTGGCATAGCTGTGAATGAAAACGGACGAGGCCAAATAACAGGTATGAAAACAAAAAGGGTGTTTTATGTCTGACTCGCTGGGCTCTAATGTCATTGCTCACTCGGTTTAGGGGAACTGAATGTTTATCCATGTTAACTTGCTGTGTTTTGATCCCACACTCTATAAAATAACCTGCTACTAAGGAGGCTGTTCAGGTCCTGAACTGGTGCTTGGACGCTGTAACGGACTGGATGAGGGCGAACACATTGAAACTAAATCCAGACAAGACAGAGGTGCTCCTGTTCAGTCGCAAGGCCGAACAGGGCATAGGGTTACAGCCTGTGTTGGATGGGGTTACACTCCCCTTGAAGATACAGGTCCACAGCTTGGGTGTGATCTTGGACTCATTGGTGAGCCTGGAACCCCAGGTTTCGGCGGTGACCAGGGGAGCATTTGCACAGTTAAAGCTTGTGCGCCAGCTGTACTTGTACCTTGGGAAGTCTGTCTTGGCCACAGGAGTCCACGCTTTTGTTACATCCCATATAGACTACTGCAACGCTCTCTATGTGGGGTTGCCTTTGAAGACTGTCTGGAAGCTTCAATTGGTCCAACGGATGGCAGCCAGATTGCTAGCAGGATTGGCACTCAGGGAGCATACAACTCTTCTGTTGCACCAGCTCCACTGGCTGCCGGTCTGCTACTGGGCACAATTCAAAGTGCTGGCTTTAGCCTATAAAGCCCTAAATAGTTCTGGCCCAACTTACTTGTCTGAACACATCTCTCCTTATGAACCTTCCAGGACTTTAAGATCATCTGGAGAGGCCCTGCTTTCGGTCCCACCTTTGTCACAAGCACAGCTGATGGGGACAAGAGACAGGGCCTTCTCAGTGGTGGCCCCGGCTATGGAACACCCTCCCTAAGGACATCAGATCAGCCCCCTCCCTTTTAACATTTTGGGAGAGAGCTAAAACTTGGCTTTTTGAGCAGGCATTTGCAAATACACTGTAACAGACATAGGAAAATGGAATGGTTTGATGATGTGGTTGAACAATGTTTTTACTGAGGAGACCCTAATGATACATGTTTTTTATTGATTTTATTGATTCTCTTATGGTTTTATTATTCGTTTGTTTTTTTATATTGAAATTGTATTATATTGAAATTGGTACCAACTGTAAACCGTCCCGAGTCACCTGCAGGCTGAGAGGGACAGTATATAAATGCAGTAAATAAATAAATAAATAATAGAGTCTCGCTTATCTGATATAAACGGGCCGGCAGAATGTCAGATAAACGAGAATGTTGGATAATACGGAGTCTCCTACTGTTACCCATCCGACGAGGCGCAAGACACCTAGAATACTAACAGCAAAGACTCAAATGGTTAAGGCAAGGCAGTACCTTGAGGCTAGGGCGGCCTAGCAGGAAGTGCCCGGATGTGGAAGAGGAGTGTGGAGATCACAGAGGGAAGGAGGGAGGACGCTTCTGCTTCCGGTCCTGCTTCTTTTCCCCCTTTCCTCCCTCCTCGTCTTGCCTTTTTCACTTATTGGGAATGGAGAGGGAGTTGGGGAGCACTCCTTTAATTGAAGGGGAAATGCTGGAGGAAAAGGAGAGCGTCGGATAAGAACGTCAGATAAGATGGAATGTCGGATTAGCAAAGGTCGGATAAGTGAGACTCTACTGTAAAACATTTTTCTATTTTTTCCTCCTGGACTCTCACATTTCACACAATAAGGTGTGAAGACCCGTGTATCCCACTCTTATAGGCTAAGCTACTGCTGTCCCTACAAATGTCATGTGTCTAAAATTAACCACCCAGTTCACAGTTTTGTAGTTCCCATGTATATATTGCGAAAACAGAAGTTCAAGATGTAGTTAAATATTTCTTGGTGTACAGATCATTATGGCAACCGAATTTCAAGGCTGAGTTGTTCTTGTTAATTATTTAACTCATCTAAATCCTAATTGGCTCTTAGATGTCTCACTGACTCTTTCACTATCTTCTCATAGTCCTAGCTGAACCTTACTAACTTGCTTTCTCTCAAAAGTCCTATCTTTCACTGTTTCATCTCTCACTCCACTCTTCATTGTCTCTTCTCAAACTAACTCATATTTTTAACTACGTTTTCTCCTCTGTTGCTGACTGTTTTCTAACAGTCCCATTCAGACTCACCAGTCAGCTGTAGTAGTCCATGGTTTCACACTTTCCTGAAAGACCAACGCCAGCCAGACTGCATATTCCTTACCTGAAATACTTGAGATCAGAAGTGTTCCATATTTCAGATTTTTTTTATGGGATATCTTAGCGAATGGGACTCAAATCTAAACACAAAATTCATTTATGTTTCATATGCACCTTATATACTTATCTTGAAAATCTTTTAACACATAATATTTGAAATAATTGTGTGAACTAAGATATCATAAAGCAAAAGTTTCACCTTCTCAGCTACCTATTTTGGAAAATGGAAATCTCCATAACCTTTTTGGAGATTTTATGATCTTTGGAAAGGCATGACCTTGTTAGAAGTCATAACCCTTTTGAAAATGATACCAAAACGTTTTGGGAAAGTGGCATTCATGCAAGGCAGTCAGGTTTCTCAGTTGTTAAACTGATGTACCTAGATATGTCTTTGAATGTTTAGGGACAATGATGTGCCAATGCACAAAAAACATATATAGCAGAGCTTCAGAAATGTTGCTTTTAGTTACCAACTCTCCCTTAAAACCTCTTGGTTTAAATCATGCTCTCAAGAGACAAAATAAGCAGACTTCTTTAAAAGTAACATAGTTGGTTTACTCACACATTTAATGTATTCAGCATACAGGTACTTTGCATATCAATCCAGTTACAAGTAGATTTGAAGTAGTTTCTCTGTGTATGTAACATAGGACATAATTTCTTATAATAAACTGTCCATAATCTAAAGCATCTCTCTGTTCTGAGAGTCTAATAGAGAGTCTCGTTTTGTCTGAAAGTCCAGTGGAGTCTCTAAGCATACTGTTCCTACTGAAGTCTAAAGCATACATTTCCTACTGAAGTCTCTGAACATACAGTTCCTATTGAAGTCTCTAAGCATACTGTTTCTAAAATGGAGTCTGAGCTCTGAATGAGCCCAGATCTGATCACATGATCTGCAGACCCTCCCATAACAAAAGAGTTAGGGAAAACTGCAAACCAATACACACATATATACTGTATCTATTGGAGTATAAGCCTAGTTCTTCAGTCGTTTTTTATTATTTATTTATTTATTTATTTAGAGCTTTTATAACCCGGTATTCTCGACTTCCGAAGAGGGACTCAGGCCGGCTAACAGCAGAAAATTCAACACAAATATAGTAAACATAATAGCATCATAATACATCAATACAAAATACATTAAAATACAGATCATACAATATCATACAATTACAAAAGCCAGGTCGTCAGAATAAAATCACAATTCATCACCATCCGCCGGTGTGGTCAGCCGGTATTGACTCGATCATCATTCTGCAAATGCTATATTCCAAAGCCAGGTTTTTACCAGATTTCTGAAAGTCAGGAGGGAAGGGGCAGATCTAATCTCCAATTTTAGGCTGGAAAAGCCCCCCTTGGCTTATACTCGAGTCAAGGTTATTTATTATTTTACTCTGTTGTTGTTGTTGTTCTTGTTACATTTATTATTTTACTCTATTCATTATTATTATATTTATTATTTTACTCTATTCATTATTATTACATTTATTATTTTGCTCTTTTATTACAGCATTTATTATTTCACTCTATTATTGGAAAGATACATAAACACATTTACACTGAAGAAGGCTAGAATAATAGTTTAATCAGAGTTGGTCAATCTTAAATTACAGTTTTATGTAAATATTCAAAAACATTTAACCTACTGATATCTCTATTAATGTATTTAATTGGTACCAATTTTTATTTTGAAATTTACCAGTAGCTGCTGCATTTCCCACCCTCGGCTTATACTCAAGTCAATCCGTTTCCCCAGTTTTTGTGGTAAAATTAGGCACCTCGGCTTGTGTTCGGGTCGGCCTATACTCAAGTATATGGTAATACAGTAAGCAATTCTAATTATATACATAGCAAACTACTAGTGGAGGCTTGAGAAGGTTGCTATTTCCAACAACCCATGTCAACAGTCTTTGATTTTGGAGTATTTTGGATTTAGGATAAAGTATGCTCAACCTGTACCATAGTTTAGGTAACATTTTGCATATTGTGCATCCTGCTCTGTTTCTGAACAGTATCATCCATGAGCATTCTTAAGTTTATTTCTCTTTTTGACACTGCCACTCTTGTTGTGGCATCCGGTTATAACATGCAGGAGATCTACCTGTCCATTGATTCGCATTTAGCAGAACACATGGGGATCTTGCTATTTACATGTTTTTAAGCAGGGGCACAGGCGTGTCCCCAAGGAAGTGGTTACAGACATACCAACACAGAAAATGGCTTCACCGATATGAAAAATGTCAGTTTCATATGCCTGTAATAGCTTAATTTGTAATGCCTTTTGAACTGTTTCAATGAAGTCCTTCCATTAAACTTCTTTTCTGGCCTGGCTGTAGAAAACGTCATCCGAGAGAACCAGTGGGGAGGTGCTGACATCCGCCGCGGAGGTGATCCAGTCCTCAGAAGCAATCTAATTTGCTGCGGCTATTCAGATGGAGTGGTGGTTGGAGAACGTGGGAAAGGACTCATTGATGGAAACACAATTTATGGTAAATATCTGCTGACAAGATGTAACTCTCCCTCCTCCCCCGCCTCCCAGGGTTACATCTACACGGCAGAATTAAAAGAGTTTGATACCGTTCTCACTTACATGGCTCAGTGTTATGGCATCCTGAGAGTTGTGGTTTTACAGGGTATTCAACCTTCTTTGTCAAACAGTGCTGCCATCTCATCAGACTAAAATCCCCATGATTCCACAGCATTGAGCTGCGGCAGATAAGTGGTGTCAAACTGCATTAATTTTACAGTGTATATGCACCCTGTGTCTTCATGTGGTGTGGTGTATGTTGCTTCTGCAGTGCAGTTTCAACGTGGATGTCTCTAGAATTCCTTTTTAAAAGAAACAAGCACTCTTTTTTCAATACTGTGTATAGGCAATCCCCAAGTTACAATCATATGACTAACAAATGACTCATAGTTAAGAATGGAGGTGAAACAACAGGCAACAGGAAGTGAGAGAAATCTATCTCTCGGAAGGGAAATTCACTCCTGGACGAGTTACCACGGGGAAAAAGTGTCTCCACTGAGGCTTCATCATCAGACCTTGTTTCCATTTTTTTCAAAATCTAATTATCACAGGGACAGAAAGTGGGGTGAAATTTTCTGAACAGGGGCACAGACAGCACAACAAACACCACAGGGGAATCTGTCCTCAGTAGTAGAACCAGATTGTGAACGATGTTTCCCTTCTGAAAATTCATGGCCCAGAAAATATTTATTTATTTATTTACTAGCCGTCCCCTCCCACGTGTTGCTGTGGCCCAGTCTGTATATATGTGTTTTGTGTGTGTATATATATGTGTTTAAATATTTGTGTATCTGTGTATATATATATATATATATATGTTTGCGTGTATATATATATATGTGTGTGCTTGTCTATATGCATATTTGTGTTTCTATATATGTGTGCATGTATGTGTGCATGTGTATATTTGTGTGTGCATGTGCATATGTATATATGTGTGTATGTAGATGTATGCGTGTGTATATTTGTGTGTGCTTGGGTATATATATATATATATACATTTGTATGTATGTGTGCATGTGTATATGTACATGAGTGTGTGTGTATGTGTGTATATATATTTGTGTGTGTATATATATGTATGTGTGTGTGTGTGTATGTGGATGTGTGTGTGTATATATATATATATATATATATATATATATATATATGGTGTATTTTGGGGTTTTTTTAAGTCCGTTCTGCTGGATTTGTTTGTAATTTTAGGGGTGATGAACACTCAATGGTCTGTTAGGGGTGTACTGTCCAAATTTCGTGTCAATTCGTCCAGTGGTTTCTGAGTTGTGTTAATCCCACAAACGAACATTACATTTTTATTTATATAGATTTAATTCCTGCATTTGTAACCCGCCCTTCTCACCCCCGAGGGGGGACTCAGGATGGCCTCACGGCACGCACCATCTGGTGCTGTCACAATTACAAACATTCAACAGTACAATTAAAAATTAAACAATTAATTAAAACAGTTAGTTAAAAACAGTTAATTAAGAACAGTCAACTAAAACAATCTATTAAAACACGCCAATTAAAATCCAAAATATGCTTTGTGGAATCCATAAATTCTTCAGTAACTCGTCTGAGTACACAGTATACTTTCATTTATGTTTTTTTCTGTTCTTGCCTTGTTTGTAGCAGGGAGAGCTTTTTGGGTGTTAAGAATTGTGGGAGTTGAAGTCGAAAACACCTGGAGGGTCGAAGTTTGCCCATGCCTGCTTTAGGGACTCTGGTATCAAAATGTACACTAACCAGGGCTGACTGTGCTTATCTTCCAGAATCAGACAGGATCTGGTGCATTTAGGGTATTTAGACCATAGAACTTAGTTTGGTGCTTATTTATTGCTTCAGAACAAGATTCTTGATCCTAAGTCATGTTTAGCCTGCAGAAGAGAAGGCTGAGAGGAGACCTAATGGCCATGTATAAATATGTGTGGGGAAGTCATAGGGTGGAGGGAGCAGGCTTTTTTTCTGCTGCCCTGGAGACTAGGGTGTGGAACAATGGCTTCAAACTACAGGAAAGAAGATTCCACCTGAACATTAGGAAGAACTTCCTAACGGTGAGATCTGTTCAGCAGTGGAACTCTCTGCGATGGAGTGTGGTGGGGCCTCCTTCTTTGGAAGCTTTTAAACAGAGGGTGGATGGTCATCTGTCAGGGGTGCTTTGAATGCGATTTTCCTGCTTCTTGGCAGAATGGGGTTGGACTGGATGGCTCACAAGGCCTCTTCTATGATTCTAAGTCCCTTAAGTTTCATGTAAGGATCAGAAGACTGATCAGTTTGCATGATTTTCTTCTTTGGCCACAGGCAACAAGGGCTGTGGTGTCTGGGTGATGTCCTCCAGCCTCCCTCACATCACAAACAACCAAATAGGGCACAACAGCATCTACGGGATTGCAGTGTTTTGCCACAAGGATGATGCCAACGATTACCTTGCCAACCAAGGGGGAAATGAGAATTTCAATGATGAGGGAGAAGCAGCCAACTGGGAGAACGACCTTGACAGCGAAGATGAACGCCTGACTTCCCGGAGGCCCATCAGTGTGGCTCTTGTGGAGTCGAACAACATCAACCACAATGGAGGTGAGTGGGCAAAAGTGTGTCGTCTCGTCTGTAGCAAGGGAGGCTGCAAAGAAGCTGAGGGAGGGATCATTATGTGAAGTTACTACAGAAAACATTTTTTACGTTGCAGAATTACAATATCATGATTCTACTTAAACCACTATAGCTTCATCCTGTGGAATCCTGGGATTTGTAGTTTAGGGAAGGTCATTTAGAATTCCCTGCCAGAGAGTTCTAAAAAAGGTAAAAGTTTCTCCTTGACATTAAGTCTAATCGTGTCCGACTCAGGGGGGTGGTGCTCATCTCCATTTCTAAGCTGAAGAGCCGGCGTTGTCCATAGACATCTCCAAGGTCATGTGGCCAGCATGATTGCATGGAGCACTCTTACCTTCCCACCAAAGTACCTATTGATCTACCCACATTTGCATGTTTTCAAATTGCTAAGTTGGCAGAAGCTGGGGCTAACAGCAGGAGCTCACCTCACTCCCTTTCGGTTAGCAGGTTCAGCAGATCAGCCATTTAACCTGCTGTGCCACCAAAGCTACCTCCCAAAACTGCAAAACCCATAATTCCATAAGGCATTGCCATGGGAGCTAAAGTGGAACCACAGCAGTCCAGTGATACTTAATTCTTGCTCCTTCACAAGTTTTGAATGTCAGCTCCCAGAACTCCTGAGAATTGATCATACCGGCTGGGACTGCTGGGAGATGGAGTCCAAAACAACAGGAGAATCAAAGGTTGAGAAGGGCTATTGCAGCACGAAAACACCTTTGGATGCTGCAATGCAGGGAAATGCATGTAGGGCCTGTCTTATCTTTTCCTAAGATATTTCTCCACATCAGCCACTCAATTGCATGCCAGAAAATAACCATCCTTATTGGTGTCCAATCCAATGCCTCATTTTAACAAAATAGGTAGTGGAATCTCGTAACACAAAATTATTAACTCCAAATTAATTGACTCCAATATAAAAAGTCAAAATATTTTCGATATTCCTCTTGGTAGCCCTTGTGTTCATCTCAAACTTTATTGCTTTCAATTTATTACATTACTAGCTGTCCCCTGCCACGCGTTGCTATGGCCCAGTCTGTGTATATGTGTGTATATATTTGCATATATGTATGTGGTTTTGCGCATGCACTGTAGCATCTTTTTGCTTTTTTGGCTTTTTAAGCCCCTTCTGCTGTGTTTTTCAGTGTTTTTATGAGTGTCTAGCCGTCCCCTGCCACGAGGTGCTCTGACCCAGTCTGTGTATATGTGTTTTGTGTGTGAATGTGTATATATGTGGTTTTGTGCATGCATTGTAATGTATGTTTTATTTTTTTGGCTTATATGTCTCTTCTACTCTGTTTTTCAGAGTTTTTATGAGTGATGGTCACTCATTGGCCTGATAGGTGTATTGTGTCCAAATTTGGTGTCAATTCACCCAGTGGTTTTTGAGTTATGTTAATCCCACAAACAAACATTACATTTTTATTTATATAAACTAGCCGTCCCCCTTACTGTGGCCCACATGGGGGTTCTGTGTGGGAGGTTTGACCCAATTCTATCGTTGGTGGGGTTCAGAATGCTCTCTGATTGTAGGTGAACTATAAATCCCAGCAACTACAACTCCCGAATGTCAAGATTCTATTTTCCCCAAACACCACCAGTGTTCACATTTGGGCGCATTGAGTATTCATGTACAGTTTGGTCCAGATCCACCATTGTTTGAGTCCACAGTGATCTCTGGATGTAGGTGAACTACAACTCCCAAACTCAAGGTCAATGCCCACCAAACCCTTCCAGTATTTTCTGTTGGTTTTGGGAGAACTGTGTGCCAAGTTTGGTTCCATTCCATCGTTGGTAGGGTTCAGAATGCTCTTTGATTGTAGGTGAACTATAAATCCCAGCAACTACAAATCCCAAATGACAAAATCAATTTTTTGAGTGAAGGATATACATTGAGTTGTGTCCAAATTTGGTGTCAATTTCCAGTGTTTTTGAGTTCTGTTAATCCAACAAACGAACATTACATATTTATTTATATAGATTACTTCTAATTCTAGCTGAAACCTTCAAAACGAAGGCAATTTACCAGGGCAAAAAATATCACAGCTGAGTCCAAGATTCCTTTAATTCCAAATGTTAATAAGTAAAATCTAGAAACTAGATGTTGATTAAGGCTGGATCCACATTACCATATAATACAGTTTCAGAATGCAGATTAACTGCATTGAACTGGATTATGTGGCAGTGTAGACTCATATAATCCAGTTCAATGCAATTAATCTGCATTCTGAAATTGCATTATACAGCAGTGCAGATCCAGCCTAAGGGAGAGAAGGTGTTGGATCCAGTATCCATAGAAAGTTGCTTTGCATCTCTTTAGGCAAGCAGACAACGGATCGACATGATGGAATCCCAACTTCCCAAAACAGTTTCTCCGACTCTTCTTTTTCGGTTTCCTTGGCAACTATTGCGTCAAGGAGCACTCTTGAGTAAACCCTTTGATCTTCCCTTGATCTGGAAGATAATTTGCTAACGGAAGTTTGTCTCCAGCTAGTAAAAAAAAAAAAAGTAAATCTATCATCACGTCTTTGATCTGCAGAGTCCCGCAAGGTGAAAACATTAACCTGCCGCCTTTCCTGTCTCTTCAACCAAATTTCAAGCATAAATGGATACCGAGACATTGAAAAAAACATCATGATAACTCTTTCAGAAATGAATTTCCCTTCCAAGGAGTAGATTTCTGTTGTCTCGGGGCCCTTCTACACATGCACTAAAACTTGGAAGAAAATGGTCTCACCTCCGTTCTTAACTATGAGTCATATGCAAATCAGATGTCTGTAACTTGAGGATTGCCTGTAGTGGATTGATTCTAGGGTGTTTTCTGTTCTTTTCACAGCTGCTGGTTTGTATGTGAAGAGCAGTGAGGCCCTGAACGTAATTGGAAATGCCATCCATGCAAACCACGACTGTGGTGTAGCTGTGTTTCAGAGCTCTCAGCTCACGCGGATCGCAAGCAACAGCGTCTCTTGCAACAGCCTCGGTGGTGTCCTTGTAGAGGCCGACTGCAGGGTGGAACTGCGTGGCAATGGCATTTACGACAACAGTAGCCACGGAGTCACCTCCAAGGGTGATGGGCTCATCACGGAGAATGACATCCTCGGGAACCAGGGCTGCGGCCTCAAGCTGTGCCAGTCAGCTGACATGAAGGTATGGGTTTGAAGGAGCAGATTTGCTTGTTGTGGCTAATTGTGTCCTCCAAATTGGGTTACGTACTTGGGGGAATTTTTGTAATTCTCTCATCGCTCTATGAATTTAGCTTGACTTTCCCAAATTCCCCCAGTAGCATCTCATGTCAAGTTCAGGACTTATACCTTTGTCTCTCTTGTGCAGAGTTTCTCACCAAAGTTTCCTGGAATTCTAGGATTTTGAGAGAGGGATTTTATAAGAGGTCATGATTGAAAAAAACTAAACTTTATTGAGTTGTAGATATATAATTTTTACTCAGCAGTTCTGTAGGAGATAAATATTATTTCAAAGGATCCTCCAAGTTGAGAAAGGCTGCTGTAGTGTTGAAGTTCAAGAGATCTAAAGGGTCAGAAGTTGAGATTCAGTGGTCTGGAGCCACATTTCCCAGACTTTGGTGTTCCAGATGTTTTCGATTAGGTCCCAGAATTTCCAGCTGTTGACCAAGCTGGCTTCTGGTAGTTAATGTTAAAGGCAGCTGGGGGACTAAAGACGGAGAGCTTGTCTAGAGTTTCACAGATCTCTGAGATGTGCTTGGATGATTCTTTCTAAAATACTGTTATTTCCTTTTTCATGTATATTATTCTGCAAACCTGTATATCAAAACCATTCATTATGTTGGGATGGCCACTGAGTAGTTGACTATTTGACCAGTGGGTCCTTGAGCTCACTATTTAAAAGGATTTGGCCCTTTGTTCCCTTTTCCAGGTCTCCAAGAATAGAATCCACTCCTTTCGAGGTTATGGGATTGAGATGCTTGACCAGACCAAAGCTTTGGTGCAAGACAATCTGATTTTTCAAGGGAAGTCCAAAAAAAACATTTTACAGCAGGCATCCAGCACTGAAGGCTGCATCCTTCAAAACAACAAACTCCTTGCATTCAAGAAAAGGTAAGTTCCTTGGTGCCATCAGTGAAAACAGGGGGGAAAACGCCCTGGTGAATGGTCCAAAAGAATTCTGAGAATTGTAGTTCTGTGAAGCAGATTGGGATCTCTGTTAGACATATGATCTTTGCACCAAATTGGGAGGGATAGCCAATACTCCAGAGGACAGGAGCAGAATTCAAAACGATCTGAACAGATTAGAGAGATGGGCCAAAACTAACAAAATGAAGTTCAACAGGGACAAATGCAAGATACTCCACTTTGGCAGGAAAAACGAAATGCAAAGATACAGAATGGGGACGATGCCTGGCTCGAGAGCAGTACGTGTGAAAAAGATTTTGGAGTCCTCGTGGACAACAAGTTAAACATGAGCCAACAATGTGATGTGGCGGCAAAAAAAGCCAATGGGATTTTGGCCTGCATCAATAGGAACATAGTGTCTAGATCTAGGGAAGTCATGCTACCCCTCTATTCCGCTTTGGTTAGACCATACCTGGAATATTGTGTCCAATTCTGGGCACCACAATTCAAGAGAGATATTGACAAGCTGGAATGTGTCCAGAGGAGAGCGACTAAAATGATCAAGGGTCTGGAGAACAAGCCCTATGAGGAGCGCTTAAGGAGCTGGGCATGTTTAGCCTGAAGAAGAGAAGGCTGAGAGGAGATATGATAGCCATGTATAAATATGTGAGAGGAAGCCACAGGGAGGAGGGAGCAAGCTTGTTTTCTGCTTCCTGGAGACTAGGACGCGGAACAATGGCTTCAAACTACAAGAGAGGAGATTCCGCCTGAACATGAGGAAGAACTTCCTGACTGTGAGAGCCGTTCAGCAGTGGAACTCTCTGCCCGGAGTGTGGTGGAGGCTCCTTCTTTGGAAGCTTTTAAACAGAGGCTGGATGGCCATCTGTCAGGGGTGATTTGAATGCAATATTCCTGCTTCTTGGCAGGGGGTTGGACTGGATGGCCCATGAGGTCTCTTCCAATTCTTTGATTCTATGATTCTATGATTCTCACTAGGCTGCAGTTTTCAGGTTTCTTTGGAAAAGGTGTTTTGCAGATAAAGAGATATAAAAACAGGCTATCTTTGTAGTGTAAATATTTTCTAAAAGACTATCTGCAGTTGTTTCTTGGCTGTGAAGGAGCACTGCTTTATGTTATTTTATGTAGATATATATGAGGTTGTTGTTCAATGGTTACTTTTCATCAGATGTAGATGAAAAGTTGAGCCCTCAGTGGCGCGGTGGGTTAAACCCTTGTGCTGGCAGGACTGAAAACCAACAGGTCACATGTTTGACTCCAGGGATAGCTCCAGCTCCCCCTGCAGGGACATGAGAGAAGACTCCCACAAGGATGGTAAAACATCAAAACATCCCGCTGTCCCCTGGGCAACATCCTTGCAGATGGCCAATTCTCTCACACCAGAAGTGACTTACAGTTTCTCAAGTCACTCCTGACATTAAAAAAATCAGAAGTAGAAGTTGTGTATAGAGAATAGAAAGTGAAGTCATCTGGCCTAGGAATAGGATGAGAGTGGTTGTGATGTGGGAATGAAAGTGGAAATGTTGCTGGGATTAAAATTGAAGTTGGAGCACAATTGGAGAAGGCAGCACAGAGAGAGGCCAAGAAGAAAGTGCCCAATAGTTGAGTTAGAAGGAGAAAAATAGTTAGAATGTGAGGCTTGAATTGAGGGAGGACAGGTTTGGGGTAAAACTTGCAAATAGGCCTCTGTTAAGAACAGCCTGCCTGGAATCTGAGAAGAAGACATCAGGAAAAATTCAAAAGACCTACATTCCTTAGAGATTGTGATTAGCGCCGCCAATGGCACTGCCTTTCCATAATGGTGGAATTGTGCACTCCTGTGAGGCAAGAAGCTATGTTGATGGCAGCAGTGCTGCTTAGAAGGTTGCCTATGTCCGTTTTTGGCAAGAAATCAAATTAAATGAACCAAACGGCTGTTAGGCACTGGCAGCAGTCATAGTGTGTGTTGGAGGGGGAAATCACTAGTGGAGGATCTGTGAAAGACAACAGTAGTGGCAACATAGCCATGATTGTTACTACTGCACAGGAGGTGCCAATGGTAAATCTCCTTTTCAAATTCTTTTGGCCATTGAAACTCTGTGATTAAACAATCCAGAATGAAACAGGAGATAATCCTGAAAGATGAGACTCCCAGATCAAAAGATGCTGTATTTCAGATTTTTATCCCTTTTTTAACCAAAAAAAGGAGATGTGACTATTATGCAGTGAAAAAAATGGTGCCTCCTTTTAGCTTTACCTTTGCATCTGTTCCCCTTCAGCTACAATACCTCACTTGGTTGCATCTGAAAGCACTGAGTTGAAGATAGTGATGGGTTTGAAGAGAGTGGTGGCTCTCTTCAATCCAGTGTTTTTGGACTCAACTGAGTAGCTGAAATTAGGTGGACAGGTGGGCAAAGATATTGTTTGTGTAGTGGAGCAAGACACATGGTGAGAGAAGTCTAGTTAGACTGTTTGCAGTGGTGGTGGGGCTGTATTTCATTCCTAGCTACACTGGTTGCAGTTTTTTTTTTGTTGTGTCAGGGGTGATTTGAGAAACTGCAAGTCGCTTTTGGTGTGAGAGAATTGGCCATCTGCAAAGACGTTGCCCAGGAGACGCCCGTATGTTTTGATGTTTTATCATCCTTGTGGGAGGCTTCTCTCATGTCCCCGCATGGGGAGCCTGAACTGACAGAGGGAGCTCATCCGCGCTCTCCCCGTATTTGAACCTGTGACCTGTCGGTCTTCAGTCCTGCCAGCACAGGGATTTAACCCACTGCGCCACTGGGGGCTCCACTTGTTGCAGGTCATCTGCAAGCAGTACAGAGGGGCTATTAACCAAAGCTGCGACTATTATGCAATGAAAGCAAAAATATACATTTGGAAGCCCAAAAAGGGAGGGGGTGCAACTATTATGTGGTGTCAACTATTATATGGTGAAATACAGTATTCAGTAAGCTATTGGGGCACAGGATCACTAACAATAGCACTGTTACTAATGATGTACCTGGATTCAAGCTGAAAGGATGTCCATCTGTTGATGTGCCCAGAAGTGAAATGAAAATCCAAAGCTGCTCGACAGATTCTGTAAGCACATGTAATGTGAGGTGCATGAATCAGAGGAAGCTAAACGTTGAAAAACAAGAAATGAAACATATAAACATTACAATGCTTGGGGTGAGTCAGATACAATGTTTTATTCAGGAAATGAAAAACCTAGGAAGAAATGTGACAGCATTTTAACAAACACGGATGTAGCAAAAGCAGTCAATGGATATGACTCTGGGGGTTGGTGCTCATCTCCATTTCTAAGCCGAAGAGCCACTGTTGTCCATAGACACCACCAAGGTCATGTGGGCAGCATGACTGTATGGAGCGCCGTTGCATGTTTTCGAACTGCTAGGTTTGCAGAAGCTGAGGCTAACAGCAGGAGTTCACCCAAATTTGAACTGCGACTTTTCGGTCAGTAAGTTTAGCATTTTAACCCACTGCGCCACTGGGGTTCCTGGGATTTATAGTTAACCTACAATCAAAGAGCATTCTGAACCCCACCAACAATAGAATTGGGCCAAACTTCCCACAGAGAACCCCCATGTCCAAAAGAATAAACTGTATTTTCTGATGGTCTTTGGCAACCTCTTTGACACCCCCTCGCGACCCCACAGGGGTCCCGACTCCTAGGATGAGAAACACTGCATTAATGCATATCAGTATAACAATCATGGGAGCCCCCGGTGACGCAGTGGGTTAAAGCGCTGAGCTGCTGAGCTTGTTGACTGAAAGGTCACAGGTTCGAATCTGGGGAGTGGCATGAGCTTCCACTGTCAGCCCCAGCGTCTGCCAACCTAGCAGTTTGAAAACATGCAAATGTGAGTAGATCAATAGGTACCGCTCCGACGGGAAGGTAATGGTGCTCCATGCAGTCATGCCAGCCACATGACCTTGGAGGTGTCTACGGACAATGCCGGCTCTTTGGCTTAGAAATGGAGATGAGCACCACACCCCAGAGTCAGACACTACTGGACTTAATGTCAGGGGAAAACCTTTACCTTTACTTATAACAATCATACATGTTTATGCTTCAACTACAGAGTCAGAAAAAGAAAAAAAATGAAAGTTATATCATCCCCTTGGCAACTTACTTCCCCACTGCACATGCCAGAGGTGTTGGCAGTCTTCTTCTGATTGAGTCAGAAGGTCAAATGAGGGAAGTTATTCCCTGATATGCAGAGCCAAACCCAGAGTTTGCAAAGTACTGTCTGTTCTTTGTGTTATGCAGAGCTTTGCTTTGCAAAATGTGAAAGAGTCAGCGTGGTTCAGAAATGTCAGTCTAGGACTCGAAGTCCACATTCCCCACTCAGCTTCCCAATTCACTAGGCAACCATAGTCTGTCAGTTTGATCTCCCCAACAGCTCTGTTGTTAAGGATAAAAAGCAGAGAAGTATAGCTACATTGGAATCGTTAAAAAAAAAATGAAGTTGAAATAACAATTCAGTAAATCTACTGGGCTGGGTAGCTACAAAGTGACTGCAAGTTTTAATGTCTGACATATATTTCTGATTCTGTTCCTTGTGTCATCGTAAGAAGCTGGAGCTTCAGTGGATGCATAAATGTTTGTCTCTTCCAGATCTGATGTTGCTTGGACCCTGGAGAACCCTCCAGCAAGACCTCACATTGAAGGATCCTCACGCGGCATGTCTACTTCTGGGAACAGTCAGAAAGGCTCAAACATGACAGCCAGGATAGCCGCCAGAGTGGAAGGAGGCTGCCATAACAATGGCAGCATCTTTTGCACAATTCTGTGACGTGTGTGCATTTCAAATGGCCTCAGAGCTGGAAACTTTCTAACACCTATTCATGGTATAAACAAAGAATCTATACTGGGATAGTTTTTGACTTCCTGCTACAAGAGTGGTGTAGTGGATTGAGTGTTTGGCTATGACTGCAGACCAGGGTTCAAATCCCCACTCAGCCACGAAACCCACTGGGTGACCTTGGGCAAGCCATACTCACTCAAAGGAAGGCAAAGGTTTCTGATAACTCTTGCCAAGAAAACACCTTAGGTTATTGCCAGAGGTTGGACATGACTTGGAGGCACGTAACAACAGCATACAAGAGCCCCCATCTTTGGAGAGCTTGTGGGCCTATTCGAAATTTCAAGGCACTGTGTCGTGGCAGCCATGGGTGACTTCATCTCTTCACAGAATGCTGATCTAACTACTTCCAATTCCTAAGCAGAAGATTCCAATTCCTAAGCAAAAGGAACTTGACTGAGAAACTTAGAAGGAAGGATCTAAATCTAAAAATACCTCTTTTAGCACCTGTTTAAGAGAAAGCAAGTGGATGATCCTCAAGAGGACAGTACCTTGGCTGAGAAACAGTCTCAAATGCCAAACTACCTATTTGTCTCACAAAAACCCAACAGAATAGCAATTGATCAGAAGTCACAATTATTCTCAGAGAGCCTTCTTCATACACACACCGTACAGAATCCCAGGGAAAACACACATAGCAGATAAACATGCAAGCTTTCCTACCCTTGCTGCTCCATCCCAGCAGTGCTTCTACTCTTCTGGACCATGATGCCCTCAGGTCCCTTCTGGCCTGTTCTTAATCTTTGAAATTGTCAATAAGAGGGGAGGTGGTCGTTGTGATCTCAGCAGCCATTTGGGTATTGAGTATCTAAGAAAACCCTATGAAATTAATGGTGTTGCCATTCTGAGTCCAAACCTCTTCTTCTTTTTGTTGACTTGGTTGTTCAGAATTTGAGGGAAGTACCATATATTCTGGTGTATAAGACTACTTTTTAACCCAAGAAAAATTTCTCAAAAGTCATGGGTTGTCTTATACATGGGAGTAGTCTTATACACAGGAGTCGTCTTACATGCTGGAGTAGCCTTATGCATGGGAGTCGTCTTATATGCGGGAGTAGTCTTATATACAGGGAATCGTCTCATAGAATGGGTGCTGAAACTTTAAAATCTGGATTGGAGAATCTGTGGTTGCTTCATATTGTGGGGGGAACTAAAAAATGGCAGTGGTCACATCCCTGCCATATGCAGCGACTGTATGAAAGCATTAAAGCCGACACTGTACAAGTACGGTAGAAGAAAATCAATTCATCAGGATTCGTGGACTTAATGCGGTCCCGATGGTGAGGTGAAGGGGCTCCTCACCAAGAATGTGTAAGTGAAAGGTGGAGGAAGCTGCAGGTGTCCAGGGGCGCCCGGGATATTGAAAAAAAAGATCGAATGGCTCTGTGCCCAGAAAAAGACACCTCTTTTCCCTGTGTGGCCCGCTCTTGTATCCTATTACCATACCTCCTCCTCAGCCTCTCAGATCTCGCTCCTGAAGACTACAGTGAAGCGGTGCAGGTGCACAGGTGCCAGATCTGAGAGGCAGGGAAGGAGGTACAGTAATAGGAACATTACTATATTGAAATCAAATCTGATGCTTTTAAAAAATTTATTTCGTGTGTGTTGGAAGAGAGGTAGTCTTATACGGCGAGTATATCCCAAACTATATTTTAACTGGAAAGGTTTGGGGTCATCTTATACGCCCAGTCTTATATGCTGGAATATATGGTAATTAATCTCATGCAGTGGTTTTCAATCTGTGGGTCTCCAGATGTTTTGGCCTTCAACTCTCAGAAATCCAAACAGCTGGTAAACTGGCTTTGATTTCTGGAAGTTGTAGGCCAAAACACCTGGGGACCCACAGGTTGAGAACTACTGATCTAATGGCTGGTGATGTCGTACTGTTTCTTGTTTTCAGTCAGCTAAGCAAGATCTACTTCCTCCCTAAACAGTTTAGAGCAGTGGTTCTCAGCGTGTGGGTCCCCAGGTGTTTTGGCCTACAACTCCCAGAAATCCCAGCCAGTTAAACCTCTCAAACACAACCTTTACATCTCCCTCTCAATTTCCAATTGGATTACTTTTCCTGTCAACAAAAACTAAGTAGATGTGAGTGGCATGATCAGAACTGACTTTTGTCCATTCTGGTGAGAAGACATTCCCAGCAGTCTTAATATGTATTCTTTCTTCAAACCTTTTGTGACTTGCCAAAGAGCAGTTGTTCAAAATGTTACATTAATGCCAAGTCAAAATAGATTACCGGTCTCCTTTGTGGAATCTCTGACATCACTTAAAATGAATCTTCCTTCTTGAAGTGGGTGCTTCCCTCCCCCCCACCTCCATACAGAGAATGAATGCCAATTTATAGCAATTAGTAGATTGCCTGAGGTATGTATGGCAAAAGAGTAATATAAGGCAGATGTAAGCCAGAATTCAGTCATCAATCACAATACATTGATTCTTCAGTAAAGCAGGCTGATACATCTGGGCTTCTTCAAATGTGAAATTGTCACAGAAGAATATAGTGCAGTGGTTCTCAACCAGGTGTTTTGGCCTATAACTCCCAAAAATCCCATCCAGTTTACCAGCTGTTAAGATTTCTGGGAGTTGAAGGACAAAACATCTGGGGACCCACAGGTTGAGAACCACTGGCATAGGGTATCTTGTACAGTGCAGGTTTCTTGCAAGAACACTCAGAAATGTTAATGACAAGTGGTGTCAAAACATGATGATTCTGGTTTTTGACATAATTTACCAAATCCAAGAAAATGGAACTCCAAGAAACTTAATGAATGGTTTCACAGGGAGCACTCAGAATCTGGTACGGTTTTATGCAGTGCCTTTGAAATTATCTAAAAATATCTATTTTTGAGACATTTCAAAAACACTAAAACAATCTACATAAAGAGTGGGTTGCCTCTTTAAAATGGATCCAATCAGCTTAATAAGCTGGATAGTGGTACTTCAGCTGCGGACATAAGTGGGAGAAAATGGAAAATCTGCAGCCTTTTATGAAACTGGGTAAAAAAGTGCTACAAATCTCGGTTCTGGTTAAAGTGGCTCTGGGATACTGACACTCCACAATCTTTACCAAAGAGATGGGGAACATTTGTCCCTCCACTTGGTTCAAACTACAACTCCAGCAATGCATTACTGTTGGCTGCAATGAAGGGGGCTGATGGGGATTGTAGTCCAGAGCACTGGAAGGAAATCTTCCACTTCTGCTTTAGCAGTTACAAGCTACCAGTAATACAAAAGCTGAAGCATTTACTGTTATTATTTATAAAATTATTTCCAAGAAAAAATATTTTTGTCCGTGGTACAACTGTGAAAAGCACAAGAACTTTGCTGGCGGAGCTGTGGCAGCAATACAAGAGGCAATAGGTCAAGTATCCCAGTGCTTAGTGGTTATGAAAGGGTCTCATTCATGGAAGAGACCCATACACTCTTTAGGCGATGAATTTGCTTACAGCAATGGAGAACATGTTTTGCTCACTCTCTTGTACGCAAACATGTTCCTTGATCTGTAACTAGGATCATTCATTATCAAGTATGGACAAACTTCTCTGTCTCCCAGCTCACTCCATGCACTATGCCAATCCAGTGGGTTCCCTGCAGCTCCTTTTAAGGGGGTACCTGCGGGACACAATATGCTTGCAGTTTAAAGATTTGGAATGAGGTCAAGTGGGATGCCCCGATCACTGCCTCTCTCCCTTACCAATGTCCCCTTGGAAAGTAATTCATTGATGAATGCATATGGTCACTGACAACTTTTAAAAACTTTTTAAAGGCTGGATTATAATCTGTTCCATGTTTTTTGAAGGAATTTTAAAACATTCCATGTAACCTTTTACTGAGAAAACCTGTATATTGAAAAATAAAGTGCTATATTTTAAAACGCCATATATTTCTTAACTGGTTATTTTGCCAGGCTATGTTAGGGATATCATGTGAGAAGCCAGGTTACTAACTGGAGCGACTTACAGGGTGCGGTCAAGGAACTCCATTGGCTGCTGTTCATTTTCCAGTCCCAATTCAAGGTGCAGATTCTTACCTACAAAGCCCTGAACGGTTTGGGACCCGCCTACCTGCATGACCGCATTTCTGTGTACGAACCCACTCAATCTTTTCGATCATCTGGAGAGGTCCTGCTGTTGCTCCCGACCCCTTCGCAGGCGCGATTGGTGGGGACTAGGGAGAGGGCCTTCTCTGTGGTGGCCCCCTGACTTTGGAACTCACTCCCCAAGGATATCAGACATGCCCGAACGTTGGCAGTCTTTAGAAGGAACCTGAAAATGTGGCTGTTCCAGTGTGCCTTCCCTGAATAAGGAATCAATGCCCTGCTCTGAATAATTCTCTGCAATTGTCCTCAGAAGCACTTTACTATCCGTTGGGTTAGTCTCCCTATATTATCTTTTAAAACCTTTCTGCTTAGATACATCCTACCTCTGTTCATGCTCAGTGGTTATTTTAAAAATTTATTACATCTGGCCTGGCCATAAGGTTTTAAATTCTGTGTTATTGTTTATATGCGCGTTATATTAATTGTACTATCTTATTTGCTTGCTGTTTTGTTTTTATTGATGTGTTGGGCTTGGCCTCATGTAAGCTGCCCCGAGTCCCCTTGGGGAGATGTTGGCGGGGTATAAATAATAATAATAATAATAATTATTATTATTATTGGACCCTGTGTGCCTTCTGTAAGGAGTTAGAGGGATAAAAAATAAGTAGGTTTAGCCTGTCATATTGTATGACTATTTGGATGTGAGAGAAAAACTGTCTCAATCACTGCATGAGTACCACAACTCTAGTCCAGTGGTTCTCAACCTGTGGGTCCCCAGGTGTTTGGGCCTATAACTCTCAGAAATCCCAGCCAGTTTACCAGCTGTTAGGATTTCTGGGAATTGAAAGCCAAAATATCTGGGGACCCACAGGCTGAGAACCATTGCTCTAGTCTGTCCCAAAGTCTGCAAAAGTTTGCTTTTGAACCACAATTTCTAGAATCCCAGAATTAATATGGCAGTACCAGATGAGAGATTTTTTGAATTATAATCCATAGTATTTTCTGAAGCTGTTTCTTCCTAGCTGCTGTTCTTTGCTTCATCCCCAGAAGCATAGAAAGCTTCCTGTTAGCTAATCAACAGTAAAGCTCAATTCCTCCTTGCCTGGGGAAGGAAATGACATTTGGCCCATTGCAGGCAGCAAAGATTCCACACATTAAGTATGCACAGTTAATAAGGTGTCACGTGTAGAGATACAATCTCAAGTGCAACACTGCTAATGAGAAACTGGCAACCTCCTTCCACATTTATGACAAAAAATGCCATTGCTCAAGAGGAACAAATTAGTTCATTCTCACGCTTTCACACCATTGTTTGTTTGCAAATGGGATAGATGCTTCTCTGTGTGCCCTTGTATAAAATTAAGGGGAGTGGAACTGGGAGATGGGAAATGACATCACCTAAAAACAACCCTGGATGCTCCTATTTTGTGGTATAATGGCAGAGATGCTCATCTGCAACACTGAAACTGGCCACCCATATTCGCTAGATTGTGAATACATTTTGTAGTCAGCAGAAAATTACTTGCATGCACACACACACACACACACACACACACACACATATATATATATATATATATATATATGGAATTATTCTATCATCTGTGTGTCCGTCTCTATGTATATATATGTGTGTGTGTATATGTATGTAATTATGTATGTATGTTTATCAGGATTTTTCTACCAGGGGAGTAGTGTATGCCAGCTCCCTCTCACTGCATGCAAAAGACAACATATGCATTGTGCGACTTCACAGACTTATGTAGGGTGGGCTTCCATGCATATGTTCATAACAGACTATCCAATAATTTATACTGGTGTACATGTAAGATGAGAAGTCAGGAGGGTGGAGAAATGAGAGGAAACTGAAGCAAAAAATCCAGCATATGGAAAGAGAAAAGGATTTCTGCACATTAGCGTGTCTGAGATCTAAGGTCTATCGTGGAAAAGTGAAAGAAGTTGGAAAGATGTTCAAAGACCTACCATATGTTTCACCAAGAAAAAGAGAGTGTTGTTAACGTGCAGATATATGAATTGCTTGAATTATATCCATCTTCTTTAGATTGGCAGTTTCCCCTTCCAGGCACTGATCAGATCTAAAACTAGATATATTAATTACGATTCATGTTGACATACAGGCCATGCATTTGTTTCAGTGGATTCACCAAATGGAAAATATTAGCTGGATCTTTGGGCGCAGCTTTCTATTTTATGCAACCATCTACGACAGGCCTGGATGTGACCTGCAAAATGACTTCCCTGTGGCCTTCGGGAAAGGCAGGGAGGAGCCGATCAGAAAGGGAAAGTCCAGCCCTTTTGCCAGTGAAGAGGAGTTGGAGAGGGAATGGTGCAGAACGGTAGTTATGTTGCAGCCAATCATGATAAAGCATGGAGGGAGGAGGAGTGGTCTGCAAGAGCTAAAAAAAACATGTAACTGCTAGGTTGTGCAGGCCTGATCCAAGGGCCCTTCCACACAGCCATATAAACCAGAATATCAAGGCAGGAAATCCCACAATATCTGCTTTGAACTGGAATATATGGCAGTGTGGACTCAGATAACCCAGTTCAAAGCAGATATTGTGGGATTTCCTGCCTTGATATTCTGGATTATATGGCTGTGTGGAAGGGCCCTAAAACATAGAAAACTGGGAGACAATCTCAGCAGTGACTAGTACAAAAGCTTAGTCCAACTGGCTTGAACACACCTTGGTAACACACTAAAGATAAATGATTGATTAAATAGTACCATCATGAAACATGTATGAAATTTGTAGCATTTCTACCAGTATTGTGCACTTCATAAGAACTGTGTATATGTTTGAACAATGACAGACCAAACAATTCATTTACCAGTACAATTAGTGCAAGCTACATGTGGGGGGATGAGATCATCATATAGCTAGACTGAATTGAGGCAACAACATGAAATAAAATTTGTAGTTGTTTTAATCCTTTGATCAGCTCTTTGCAGATATCCTTAACATCTCTTGATGGTTAGTCCCAACCACTGGAGGGAAGCAAAGTTTCTCACTCTCTGGGAGCAAGGAAAATGTCCATTGTTGTTCCATTGTGTCCATTGGGGTCCAGGCCAACCCAAGAAATTAGGCCACAAAACTCTTGACAACAGAAAAAAATTAAAAGGTCAACATCAGTTGGGAAAAAGAAAAACTTGAGGTGATGGCAAGAATCACCAATGCTTTCCTTCAAAAAATACGGTGCAACATAGCAGAGAAGTCTTCGGGAAGCCGCCTAGTACATCTTGCGTTTCTGGCGGCCTGCCATCTCTTTGTACACAGGTAAGGGCAAAGAGAGAGTCCCAAGTCTGTGCTCATCCAATCCAGAGAGGGTTTTACTTTTGGTCAACTTCAGCCTCATCGCTTTGGCAATATCAACAATCCTGTAACACACACACACAAATATACATAAATTATTATACTAACGTTTATGCATTGCTGTCTACTCTTCATCACAAGCTTTGCCCTTCGTTCTCATATCATCATGTAAAAGTTTACATTAGTAATTAATAGCGGGAGGGGGGAGGGAGGGAGAGAGAGAGAGAAGGGGGAAGGAGAAAAAGATAGAAAGAAAGGTAGAGAAGGAAGGAAGGAAGGAGAGAAGGAAATAAAACAGTGAAAGAGGGGAGGAAAAAGAGAAGGAAGAAAAAGAGAAAGACAGACGGATGGACGGAAGGAAGGAGACAAGGAAGGATGGAACCAAAGAGTAAAGGAAGTAAGAAAAGAAACAGGTAGAGAAGGAAGAAAGAAGAAAGGAAAGAAAAAGAGGGAAGGAAGGAAGGAGAGAAAGAGGGAGGGAAGGTTGGCCACAGCAACGCGTGGTGGGTACAGCTAGTAGTAGTAGTAGTAATAATAGTAATAATAATAATAATAATAATATACAACACACAGTCCTAGATGCTTGGGAAGTGTTTGACTTGTGATTTTGTGATACGAAATCCAGCATATAGATCTCATTTGCTGTGACATACTGTGTTTTTGTGTTAGTAAAATAATAATAATAATAACTGCAAAGATTCTGGCACAAGCCAGTCAAGGTGGTCCAATAGTGATCGGCACACTGGGAGCAGTGCCTAAAGACCTTGGCCTGCACTTAAAAATAATCGGTGCTGAAAAAATTGCTGTCTGTCAGCTGCAAAAGCCCACCACCCTATTTGGATCTGCCCGCATTATTCACCGATACATCACACAGTCCTAGACACTTGGGAAGTGCCTGACATGTGATCCAATACAACAGCCAGCATAGCAATCTTGTTTGCTGTCTGCTAATCCTGTTATGTATCAAATAATAATAATAATAATAATAATAATAATAATAATAATAATACTTTATTTATATCCTACCACCATCTCCCAGAAGGGACTCAGGGCAGCTTAGAAAAGCACTATTAGTGCAACAATAACACAAAATGCTATAAAATACATTGAGGGGTTAATATGCAAATAGATTATGAGGACAGTCAAGGAATTATTCTCACCTCTTATCCCGCAATTTCAGATCCCGTTGTAAGATTGTCAGGTCTGTTTCAAAGTTGTTAATATGTAAAGCAAGGGCAATGGCATATGCTGCTATTTTAACTTTCATGGAAGCAGAAATTTGATTCTGTATCCTAAAAAACAAAATGAGGGGGGAAAGATAAGAAAAAAATGTTAGAAGCTATACATTCAGTCCAACCCCATTTCGCCATGCAGGAAAAGCACAAAGCAGAGAGCCATCCAGCCCCTGTTTAAAAACTTTCAAGAGAGGAGACTCCACCACATTCCCAGCTCTTACTGTTGGGAAGCTCATCCTAATGTTTAGGTGGAATCTAGAATAGGAAAGGACAACTTCTGTTTCCCTGGAAATGTTTAGACCCATCATCCTTCAGAAACAGTTGGGAACACTGAAATTGAAGCGTAACAGTATCTGGGGCCTGGCCTGGCTGATGAAAAGAAAGCAATCCAAAATCCTGCAACATTTGAAATCAACATAAAAAGTTTTACCTGCCATTGCTATAGGTCAGAGCTGTGAAGGTTTTCACAATCTTGTTGCTGATGATGCCTGGACAGTTGGGGCTAAAACCAACTAAAACAGAAAATATTTTAGGTAAGTTTCCCCCAAGCACTTGGACCCAAACACTAGTGCAAAACCAGCAAAAACATAAGGAAAGCATTTTGAACTTTAGTTTGAATTACATTAGCTGAAGATTGGTATTTCCAGAGAGCCCCAAAACTAAATAACATTACCTTGGTTCTGAGACACCCTCTTCCCCCTATACAAACAACTCTAAAAACAGGATGCATCTTAGAATCATGGGTATATGTGTGTGTGTGTGTATTGTTGATGACACTGGCGCAGTGGGTTAAAGCACTGAGCTGCTGAACTTGTTGACCAAAAGGTCACAGGTTCGAATCCAGGGAGCAGTCATGCCGGCCACATGACCTTGGAGGCGTCTACGGATAATGCCGGGACTTCAGCTTAGAAATGGAGATGAGCACCAAACCCCAGAGTCGGACATGACTGGACTTGAGTTACCTTTGGACCAACATCAGCTAGCAAAGACAAAAACAAACTCTTACATTTCTTCTTCACCATTCGTTGTGAGATCAGCTTGACAAGAGCATCTAGGAACCAGAGACATCGGGCTTTACGGTCACGCTTCTTCTCATCCACAGGCATAGATTTAAGTTCATTCAGAACAAAGAAGCAGTAGCTAAGCAAGACAGATAAGAGAGTCATTAGGCCTAAAGGCAGACCAGCAGCAAAAATTAGGGAGCTACTTCTTCAGAGGCTGTAAATTAACAGAACACCTTGCCTATAGTGGTTAGATCTCTGAAGATTTGTTCACATGACATAAATCACTGACTGATGGGTGGAGTGATCAAGGGACATAACACATTTGAGTCAGTTCTTGTTTTGCTCATAGCTAGCAGGAGTCACCTGAGGCAGTTAACAAGAAGTATCGAACTTGTGGCCTTCCAGGTGTTTGGACCTCCAACTTCCAGAAGCCCTAGCCTGCTTGCCCAATGATCAGGAATTTTGGGAGCTGAAGTCCAAAACACCTGATGTTGGACCCAACTGAGTTAGTACCTTTGTTTCTAATAATGCACATGATTTGTGGTCCCTGCAACACATTTAGTACACTCACCTTTTCTCTTCTGTCATTTTAACGATATCTTTCGTGGCGATGTTCATGAGTGCAGCAGCTGGAGCCCGGAGTGCCTCATATTCAGCAGGTGAAATAACTGAAGGTGTGTTAGGAATAATAACATTGTCAATTTCCAATGTTTTCCTTCCCAGTCGAAAGACTTTTTTCCTTGTCTTCCTTGGGTGGAAAACCACAAGGCAGGCAAAACCAGGTATCATTAAATGTGATAGGTTGGCAGAAAAGTCAGGGCTCACCACCTTTTGAGAGCACCCACTTCCTTTGACTTCAATTAGACCTGCACAGAACATTCTACTGGCCAATAACCATGATTATTATAATACATATTATGAAACAAAGAGAGTAGATTCCCTGGTAGATAGTTTTTCTGGAAACTAATGTTTGTACTTGTCCTGAGGCATTTAATGTTTGCCTTTGTGTTTTTTGTTTGTTGGTATCCACCAAGAGTCCCCTAGGGGAGATAGGGCAGAATACAAATAAAGTCTTATTATATTTATTATTATAAGCAGATCTTCTGCCTTTTAACTTGACACAACACACACACACCCATTAGATAAGCAAAAACACAACTGGAAAAAAACAAAACAAAATAAACTGCTCATGGGAATAGGCTATAGAGAAAAAACTACCCTGCTCCTGAAGCAGCTACACTGGCTTCCAGTTTGTTTCCGGATGCAATTCAAGGTGCTGGCTTTAGCCTATAAAGCTCTAAATGGTTTGGGCCCAGGCTACTTGAGTGACCACATCTCCTCTTACAAATCCACACGAGCCCTGAGATTATCAGGAGAGGCCCTCCTCTCAGTCCCACCGCTGTCACACGTACAGTTGGCAGGAACGAGAGAGAAGACCTTCTCGGTGGTGGCCTCGTGGCTCTGGAACTCCCCCCCAAAAAAGGTGCATCGGGCCCCCACATTACTAGCCTTTTGCTCCCAGGTTAGAACCTTTCTATGGAAACAAAACTTTCCTGACAACCCATAATAAGCAGGCTATTTCAGTCTGGCAACGCTCATGCAGGCAAAGATTTGAAGCTTCAAGATTTTTTAGTACAGTAGAGTCTCGCTTATCCAACCTTCATGCATCCAACGTTCTGTATTATCCAACGCAGTCTGCTTCCTGCCCGGATCCACAGCAGTTTCAATACATTGTGATGTTTTGGTGCTAAATTTGTAAATACAGTAATTGCTACATAACGTTACTGTGTACTGAACTGCTTTTTCTGTTGATTTGTTGTAAAACAGGACATTTTGGTGCTTAATTTGTAAAATCATAACATAATTTGATGTTTAATACAGTGTTCCCTTACTTATTGTGGGGGTTCCATTCCAGGACCACCCGCAATAAGTGAAAATCTGCGAAGTAGGGATGCCATATTAATTTTAATATTGATACATTTTTATATATATATTATTTTCTTACCTGCACTTCCTTATCCACTTCCAGGCCCATCCCAAGGGCACCTGCCTACCTCCCTGGCCTCCGCAGAGCCTCCGGAGCCACACAGGCAGCAGTAGGCCAGGGAGGCAGGCCTTCCCCACTGCGCCTCAGGTTGCCGCACTTCCGGGGTCTGTGGAGACCAGGGAGGCAGGCCTTACCTGCCGTGCCTCAGGCCCCCGTATTTCCGGGGTCCCTGGCCTCCCTGGAAGTAAATATTTAATATTTTGTATTTTTATTAATGTTTTCAAAAACCTGTGAAACAGCGAGTCCGCTAAAAGCAAACCGTAGTGAGGGAACACTGGCTTTTCCTTAATCCCTCTTTATTATACAACATTTTTGGTTATTCAACGTTCTGCTAGCCTGTTTATGTTAGATAAGTGAGACTCTACTGTATAATGTTTTAAGGACAACCTCAGTGGCCTGAGGCCCAGGAATTTTAAATGCTAATGATAAATATCATTATTTATTATGCTTATATGGTTTATGTAATGCTGTTTATGCAATGTGTTGGTTTATAGTTTATTTGCTTGGGTTGGGGGGGGGGGTGATGTTTTGCTCTTGTATTATGAAAATTTTGTTTTTAGCCATTTGTTTGCCGCTCTGAGTCCCACCCATGGGAGAAAAGCGGGAAAAATGAATTAATAATAATAATAATAATAATAATAAAATTGGTTTTCTTTCTTCCAGAATTCAGTAATTTTCAACTTCAGAAGTGAATACATATTTAGTCAATATACCAGTCTGCTATGCTTTCATCACAAAGAGACGCAAAACCCAGCTGCATGAATCTATTCTATGTTCACCACTAACTTTCTCCTTTGTTTCACCTATTCTTTAACACTGAAACTCATTCTTACTCTTTGACATTAAGTTCCAGGCACACGGAAATAAAATAACATTTATCCTGCTTATAAAAGATACTGTCCTCAAACTTGTAGACATCTTCCACTTTCTCTGCATCTTCATGGAGTGGAGGAAGGGCCAAAGAGGTATCTGATTTCATACTTTCTGCTGCATCACTGACCACAGCTAGGAAAACAAATGAAAAATAACTTGTGAGCAGCAGGGAAATAATATGGTTAGTTATTAGAGTTTGTGATTATTTATATGATGGATTTAAGACTCCAAGTTGTCTATCCATGTGCCTTTCCTCGAATGGCTTCTTATATTAACAAAGACCAATTAAAACACAACAAAAATCACACTTGCTTGAGGCAAGTGTGAATGTTGCAATTGGCTGCCTTTATTGGCATTTAATAGACTTGCAGCTTCAAAGCCTGACTGGTTGCTGCCTGGGGGAATCCTTTGTTGGGAGATGTTAGCTGGACGAGAGTGATCCTCTCACCACTGCCAGAGTCTATCATATACCATGCAGCTGTGGACAAGTCTACATAGGGACCACCAAAGGCAGCAATACCCAAACACAGAAAGATGAAGGGCACTGCAGACTGATTCAACCAGAGAAGTCAGCCATAGCAGAGCACCTGATGAATCAACCTGGACACAGCATATTATTTGAGATCACAGAAATGTTGGACCACTCTAACAACCACCATGTCAGACTACACAGAGAAGCCACTGAAATCCATAAGCCAGTGGACAATTTCAACAAGGAGGAAACCATGAAAATCAACAAAAATCTGGCTACCACTATTCAAAACTCTAAAATCAGGACAGTAAAAAAAGAGCAAAACTCAAAAGGCAGGGGAATTCCAGACAAGAATCGATTAGGGTCAGCTAACACCTCCCAACAAAGGATCCTCCCAGGCAGCAACCAGCCAGGCTTTGAAGCTGCAAGGCTATTCAATGTTAATCAAGGTGGCCAATGGCAACAGTCCCACCTACCTCAAGCAGACAAGAGTTCTTTCTCCCACCCTGGACATTCCACAGATATATATACTCAATTTTCCTAGTTTCCAACAGACCTCAAAACCTCTGAGGATGCCTGTCATAGATGTGGGTGAAACGTCAGGAGAGAATGCTTCTGGAACATGGCCATACAGCCCAGAAAACTCACAGTAACGCAGCAAAATGTTTGTGTTATTAAAATTAAGAAAGGCATGGGGGCAGTATTAGATAAACATGATACTCTGCACATGCTGTTCACACAGATCTCCTTTCTTACCATCCGTGCCCTTTGTCTCAATAACATCTTCTGCTGCTTTGATCACTGCCATATTCAGCACCTCCTTGCCAACTGCATTCATCCTCCGAGAATTCAGAGCTCTCTTTTGTTTGGAGGTTCCAAAGGCTTCGATGCAGAGATCAACCTGCCAAAGTATCAAGAGACTTTCAAGAAACTGCTGCAGTAGGCCAAAAGGCTGCCTGCATATGGATGCTTTCCTTTTCAAAGTAAAACAAAAATAAGGGGAGCATTAATAACGAAACACAAGGGACCAATAATAAACCTGCTGACATTCTTGGAAGACTTCCAAATATTGTTTAGTAAAACAAAACACAAACTCTCATCCTTGTTCCATTCAGCTTATCTGCTAAGAGTTAACCAATTTTTTCACAACATTGTTCAGTCAACCAAATACACAACAGAGATCTTGTCAACAAAGCACATTAGCAATCAAAACAGTAATTGATGAGAATGCAATTTTCATAACACTGACCTCTAGTGGAATGTATTCCTAAGACCAATATTAAAATTCTGCTGCTATAGGATAAGGATGTCAGAAAAAGATTTTATAGCTGAGTTATGGGTCACTGTAGATCCGTTCTCAGATTTTCAGTTCAAACTGATATTTATACAGATAGAACAAGCAAAACATCAGCTAATGAAATTTTACTGTAATAATTGCCTAATAGTTGTTTTTAAAGTTGTACCTTCTCTCTGTAGGATTTATTCAAATACTCTGACAGGTCGTCATCTTCTACATTATCTAATTAAAAAGAAGAAGAGAATACAATAAAAATGGACAGTTCTCTAAAACAATCTTATTTATGACCCCAATGAGAGTTGATATAACAAGATAAGCAATTAAAATGTAAGATCTCTCATCTTGACTTAATTTTATCTCTTTATTTTGCTGACAAGGAAATTCTGTGAACATGTTACTCTTTGTTATGTAGACATTTTTCAAGAGCTGCCCCCAAAAATGTCCCAAAAAGGCATATCACTATATCCTGGAACAATTGCCACTTCTGAAGGTAAGTTTCAGAAGTTTGAGGTAAGTTTTAGGACTGCATTTTAAAAACATTTTTCTATAGCTTAACATAAAAATTGCCACTTCTGAAGGCAAGTTTCAGAAGTTTGAGGTAAGTTTGAGGACTGAATTTTAAAAATATTTTTATATAGCTTAACATGAAAATCCCTGAAAATGAAAGTTAGTATGTCAGGGAAGCTAGCACAAGACACTTTATGTACCGTATATTCCGGCATATAAGACGACTGGACGTATAAGACGACCCCCAACTTTTCCAGTTAAAATATAGAGTTAAGACGACTCCCACGCATAAGACTACACCCGCGTATAAGACGACCCCTGACTTTTGAGAAGATTTTATTGGGTTAAAAAGTAGTCTTATACGCCAGAATATACTGTATTTACAATCACCCATTTCTCATCTGCATTTGGAAAAGTGATTATTTTAGGAAAAATGAGTGTTTTGAATTGGCTAAATTATTCCTTAGGATAAATATTAGAGAAAACAAACCAAACACAATGGTGTAGGTCAGTGGTTCTCAACCTGTGGGTCCCCAGGTGTTTTGACCTACAACTCTCAGAAATGCCAGTCAGTTGACCAGCTATTGGGATTTCTGGGATTTGAAGGCCAAAACATCTGGGGACCTACAAGTTGAGAACCACTGCTGTAGGTGGGGATTATGCACTGCAGTAATTGTATTCTCCTCTATAATGCAGTGATGTTGGGGCCGCAGTAGCACAGCAGGTTAAACCACTAGCTGAAGAAAAACTGCTGACCAGAAGGCTGGTAGTTCGAAGCCCCAAGTCGGGGCGAGCTCCCCCTGTTAACCCTAGCTTCTGCCAACCTAGCAGTTTGAAAACATGTCATGTGGGTAGGTCAATAGGTAACTCTTCAACAGAAAGGTAAAAAGCGCCCATGCAGCCATGCCAGCAACACGACCAGGACGGTCTGCAGACAACAGGCTCCTTGGCATGGAAAAATAGAACAAGAGCACCTCCCCATAATTATGCTGATTATGTACCTGTTGGGGCTCAGCCTGTGTTTGAACCTGAATCTGTTATAGTGTGTCCCCCTTCTAATGTTTCTCAGCCTGACTTGGATAGTGAACCTGAAGTGATCAATGTCAATGAGGATGAGGTGCAAAATGGAGACACTTTGGACAATAAGGTCACTTCAGACTCTGATTGAGAAGGATCAGGGGAAAAGCTAAGTTCTCATGAGAATGTTCCTGCCACGGGAAGGCAGGAAAGTTTACTCCCTTCTCCAGGCTCCAATTTGCAGGATAGTTTCACACCTGCTGCAGCTAATGAGGAGATAGATAAGACCAGTCGCCATCTGGAAATCAGCCAGAACCATAGAGAGGTCCAATGTTTACACAGGTCAGAAATAATTCAGCAGTTGAGGTCAAAGACGGGGGGGAGTAGAAATCAGTTTCTGGGACTTAAATTGAGCTCTTAGGGAATTTCCTTTAGACCAGGCATCATTTGGTTTCAAGTCAAGTCTCCTGGATATTCTTGTTTCATGTGGCCTCGTCTCCAAGGTTTCCTGGCTTTTCAAGTGGATTAGCAGTGGCTACGTTCCTGGTTTTATATTGAAGGCTTTTGGTATTTCATTGCATCTGGATTATTACAGCAAGCTTTTGGAACTTTGTTATTATTCCTATGTTTGGACACTGTTTTGTTGTTGTTTTTGGCTTTTTGCTTTTGAACTTTTACCAACCTTATATTCGTCTCTTTTATTGGCTCCAATTATTCTTCAAATAAACCATGACTCTTCTTTCAGCCAAGGTGTGGTGTCATTAATGATTAGAGGGTCCTGTTCCTGCTCTAGGGTGCAACAGTACCAAGCCAACAATTCTGCCACAGTAAATAAAGAAACATCATTAACCCACCTGAAACCAATGGCTGCATATTGAATAACTCTGCATTGTATACTTCCAGTTGTCCAGAATCTTTGTCTAATACACCAACGTAGTATCTAATAGGAGAGAAAGCTCAAACTGAAAATAAGTCAATTTCAGATGCTATGAGAACCGAGGCTAGTTTCTCTTTTGCTAGTTTAGTTAATTAGCAGTCTATTGTTTTGCCATTGGTAGCTGATCTTATTTTAAGACATTTGTGGCTGTTGTTGTAATTGTTGTATATTATTTCAGGGCATGCAGTAATTGATATTATGATTTGCATTGTAGCTTCAACTAAGAATTGCTCCTAAGCCTCCTTATTTTGGGAAAAATAGGTAAGCTAGAATGATGGGTTCCTGAAACCCAATCAACAGAAAATGTGGAGGTTATAGTAATTTTAAACTATGCCCTAGAAATCTAGTAAAAGTTATAGACAATTGTCCTAACACAAAACTTGAACAGCTATAAAATAAACTCTTGAAGAGAGACGTGCAACACTCTGTGGTATTATGCTCAAACACCTGTTTTCATAGCCCACTTGCCATTTGTCTCAATATGGCACATATTAATATAATATACTGTATTTATTTATATTCTGCCCTATCTCCCTGAATGGACACATCTATGGCAAACATTCAATGCCATTATACATTGAATAAAGACAGACAGTACATAAACGGAGGGAAAGGCTTCCCATCTTTTTCCATTTCCGGCATCTGGAGGCTGTGCTCAACTCCAGCGTGTGTGCTGTCACTCCATCTTTCATGCTGAGGAGCTTTATTGTTCTTTAGTCACTCTTCCAATCAAATCGCCCGCATGGGCGCCTTTTATTACCTCCCCACCAAAGCAGTACCTATTTATCTACTCACATTGCTGTTTTCGAACTGCTAGGTGAGCAGAAACTGGACTGATGGTTGGGAGCTCACCCCAACCTGGGCTTGAACTGTTGACCTTTCATTCAGCAAGATTTTCTTCAGCTGGAGGTTTAACCCTCTGTGCTAAAGCCCAGCCCACAAAAAACTACAGAAAAAGATGACTATCCCAAATCAACTCCTGTTTGTAATTTTATTCAAGTTTAGGATTAGCTTCAATGCAGATATTCTAATTGAAGTAAACATACAATTACATTTATTTCTGACGTACAGACACACACACACAGAGAGAGAGAGAGAGATAGATAGATAGATAGATAGATAGATAGATAGATAGATAGATAGATTACCTGCATAGAGTATTGCACTTCAGGGCTCCTGCACCAAAATTATTTCCTACATAAGAAAGCCTCTCTGTTTCTGCATTCTAAAAAAATAAAAAAAATGATTTTTGAGATAAAAATAAGTTTTAAAAGTAAAGTAAATGCTACAAAGGCTCAAAGTTTTTTCCACCACAAAATGGGAAGTCACTGGCTTCAAGCCTTTTCAAAGTACCCTAAAAGAAAGTGGAATCTTCGGGTCAAACAGCCATACAATGTCAATCTATTTCTTTTCTTCTCCTCACTTCCACTGCAGTTGATGCAAAACGTGTAAAGAAATAATACGAGGGTGGGTCAAAAAGTAATGCCTCCATCGCTCTAACTTTTATTTCTTTCACAGCTATTGAACTATGTGTATATGATATGACAGAGGTAACCTTACTCTACTGATTTAGTCTTTTCTTTTTCCAATTGACTGATTAGAACCATGAATCTGAAGGTAAAAGAAAGAGCGGTCATTAAATTTCTGGCAAAAGAAGGTTTTACACCTAAGGGAATCCACCATTGCTTGAATAATGTTTATGATTTGCCCCCTTCTGACTTTTACCTGTTTGGACCTCTGAAAGACAACCTATGTGGTTTCAGATTTAAAAACATGGGTCACAAAGCAAAGCTCTGAATTTTTCCAAAATGGGTTTGATGCCTGGGTTGAATAATGGCACCAATGTGTACAAATGGATGGTGACAGTTCAACTATGATCTGTAGCGACTTCTGCTGTTATATGACCATTCATAATGTTTTTATGACACAGGAGGCAAAACTTTTTGACTCACCCTTGTACAATGGGAATGGTATGTCTTGCACATGCCATTTATTTTAATCCATTTTCCAGACATGGATACTGAATAAGAAAATTTCTGTTTTTTAAGTTATGTGTTAAGGTTCCCAGATTCCATGCTGAGCGCATTTTCTGTGACTTTAAGGTAAGCATCAGGAAGAGGAGGAATGTCCTGTCGCTAGAATATATAACAGGTAAGAATACTTGTGTGTGTGTGTGTGTGTGTATAAACACACACATACATATATATATTCATGCACAGGCCCCCGGTGGTGCAGTGGGTTAAACTGCTGAGCTGTGAAACTTGTTAACCGAAAGGTCAGTGGTTTGAATTGGGAGAGCGGGGGGAGCTCCCACTGTTATCCCCAGTTTCTGCCAACCTAGCAGTTCAAAAACATGCAAATTTAAGTAGAGCAAATAGGTACTACTTCTGCGGGAAGGTAACGATGAAAATTAATGAAAATTATTGGTGAGTATTTCAATTTCTAAATCCCCCCCCCCCCCGCCATGCAGTCATGCCACCCACATGACCTTGGAGGTGTCTACAGACAATGCCGGCTCTTTGGCTTGGAAGTGGAGATGAGCACCACCTCCCAAAGTCGGACAGAACTAAACTTAATGTCAGGGGAAACCTTCACCTTTACTTAAGGCCATATCCGTGAAACTTAAATCTGCCATTTAAGCCTACAATCCTATATCCATCGAGTTGAAATAAATATCACTGAACACTGTATTTCTTGCCTCTGAAGAGACATGGAAAAAATTGTTCCATAACAAAACTTCAAAGTCTGATAATAAAATCATTTGAGCTTTGTGTAACCCTCTCATAAGTTTAGCAAATAAAAAAGTGGGATAGCTGAGTAAATAAGCTAATAAATACAATTCCCGTTCACCAGTCTATCAGTCAATTAACAGAGCAAGCTTGCTGTATACCAAATCTGCTTACCAAAGTTACTTTTTGTTTCTTTCTCGGATTTGTGGTGTCTTTGTTTCTGTATAGGTTGAAAGTCATATTTTCAGAACTCTTCAGTTTGCCATTTGTGAACTGAACTGTGCATGAGAGAGAAAACAAAGGTAAGAAAATTTGTAACACCCAGCATTTTAGCCTTTGTAAATGCTTTGAAACTCCCCCCCCCCCCCCCCCCTCCAGCATCAACTGCTGCTCTGGGCCAGAGATGAGAGAGAGAGGACCAGTGATAGTTCCATCTTGTCTCCTGCATATGTCATCAGTTGGGGACCCCTCCCCCCAGCACTAACTGCTGCTCTGGGCCAGAGGGAAGAGAGAGGGGGCCAGGGACAGTTCCACCTTGTCTCCTGCATATGTCATCAGTTGGGGACCCCTCCCTCCAGAATCAACTGCTGCTTTGGGACAGAGTAAAGAGAGGGGGGCTAGGGGACAGTTCCATCTTGTCTCCTGTACTATGCTTATAATATAATATAATATAATATAATATAATATAATATAATGCAATATATTGTATATACATATAATATTTATAATATTATAATGTAATACAATACAATACTAATAATAACATGATATTATAATTCTATATTGTATATTACATGCAATATTATTAATAATATTACAATATAACGGTATAGTACAATATAGTAATATATAATACTGATACTGTACTATGCTAATAATATATTGTATGTATATATATCTTGTAAGCCGCTCTGAGTCCCCTTCGGGATGAGAAGGGCGGCATGTGTATGTTGTAAATAAACAAACTTGTTGATTACATCTATGTATGAGAATGTATGCAGTTGGCTGCCCCTTTCATTGCTTTGGTTCAATGTGATTCAGTTGTGATTTGGTGTGGCCCCAGCACTAAAGGCCTTGCAAAACTACAATGCCCAGGATTCCACACAATTGGGCTATGGAAGTTTAAAGTGGTGCTGAACTGCATTGATTTCAGTGTAGATCAGGCATAGGGAAACTTTGGCCCTCCAGGTGTTTTGGACTTCAACTATCACAATTCCTAACAGCTAGTAGGCTGTTAGGAATTGTGGGAGTTGAAGTCCAAAACACCTGGAGGGCCAAAGTTTCCCTATGCCTGATCTACAGTACTGTAGAATGAGTGCAGCCTGGCACACTCTTTGAACTGTCATGGCTCAATATGATGGGTTCCTGGCAGTTGTAGTTTGGGGAGGCCCCAGCACTCTTGGGCAGAGAAGGCTAAGTACAGACCTTGTCAAGCCACAAATCCCAGGATCCCATAGCACTGAGACATGGTAGCTAAAGTGGGGCCAGGCTGCACTCCAGGCCTATAGATTAGGGCTTCTTTCCTCCAATGACCCGGACACGTGCTTGAGCCTTTGCAAGGGAGCCCTGGGTGCAAAGGCAAGACCAAACCAGGGAAAAATCAGCACTGAGAGCCTTTCTGGCCCCGATCCCTTACCGAGAGGGGCGCTCTGTCCTTCTTGGGGGTCCCCCCGGTAGCACCACCGAGCCTCCATGGCCAAGGATGCCTCTGTTTCCCCGCGTGTGTCCAGCTGCAGGAAGAGGAGTGGCTTTGATCCCAAGCAAACCCCTTCCGCCTGCCAGGCTCACTCCACGAAGCCTCTGTCGCCACCTGCAGGCAGGAAGGGGGAACTGGCTCGAGTCTCCTTTCCTCATATTTACATTGACAAAATGTAAACACCAGGCAGGGGCAAACAGTCCTTTAGGCCAGGGGTCCTCAAACTAAGGCCCGGGGGCCGGATGCGGCCCTCCAAGGTCATTTACCCGGCCCTCGCTCAGGGTCAACCTAAGTCTGAAACGACTTGAAATCACACAACAACAACAACAACAACAACAATCCTATCTCATCAGCCAAAAGCAGGCCCACACTTCCCATTAAAATACTAATAAGTTTATATTTGTTAAAATTGTTCTTCATTTTAATTATTGTATTGTTTTTAAGTGTTTTTTGCACTACAAATAAGATATGTACAGTGCGCATAGGAATTCATTCATTTTTTTCCAAATTATAATCCGGCCCTCCAACAGTTTGAGGGACTGTGACCTGGCCCTCTGTTTTAAAAGTTTGAGGACCCCTGCTTTAGGCTGTGAGGAATTGTGAGAGTTGAAGTCCAAAACACCTTGGTAAGGGATCGGGGCCAGAAAGGCTAAAGTTTGCTCATGCCTGATCTACACTGTAGAATCAGTTCAGTTTGATCATGCTACAATTGCTATCCCTCAATGCTCTGGAATCATGGGATCTATAGTACAGACTTTGTATTTCTAGGTGCAAAGATTACTGCAGATGCAGACTGTGGCCAGGAAATCAGAAGACGCTACTTCTTGGGAGGAGAGCAATGTCCAATCTCGATAAAATAGTAAAGAGTAGAGACATCACACTGGCAACGAAGATCCGTATAGTTAAAGCAATTGTATTCCCCATAGTAACCTATGGATGTGAGAGCTGGACCATAGGGAAGGCTGAGCAAAGGAAAATAGATGCTTTTGAACTATGGTGGAGGAAAGTTCTGAGATTGCCTTGGACCGCAAGAAGATCCAACCAGTCCATACTTCAGGAAATAAAGCCCGACTGCTCATTGGAGGGAAGGATACTAGAGACAAAGTTGAAGTACTTTGGCCACATCATGAGGAGATAGCAAAGCCTAGAGAAGACAATTATGCTGGGGAAAGTGGAAGGTAAAAGGAAGAGGGGCCAACCAAGGGCAAGATGGATGGATGGCATCCTTGAAGTGACTGGACTGACCTTGAAGGAGCTGGGGGTGGTGACGGCCGGCAGGGAGCTCTGGCGTGGGCTGGTCCATGAGGTCACGAAGAGTCGGAGACGACTGAACGAATGAACAACAACAACAACATAGTCTAGTGAGGCACCAGTGAAGACCTTTGTAAACTGTAACTTGTTGGGGGAAGCAACTTTCTCAAGCCTCCTCTATATGTTTGTCTGTTTGTAATACATATACCTGAAGTATATGTCTTACTTGATTTGAAGTTTCTTTATCTCTATATACCGAAAAAGCAATGGGAGGGACTGCAAGTCACATGACTGACTCAGTGATCGTTTAGACCAGGGGTCCTCAAACTAAGTTCCAGAGGCTGAATGCAGCCCTCCAAGGTCATGTACCCGGCCTTCACTTAGGGTCAGCCTAAGTTTGTAATGACTTGAAAGCACACAACAACAACAACAACCCTATCTGATCAGCCAAAAGCAGGCCCACACTTCCCATTGAAATACTAATAAATTTATATTTGTTAAAATTGTTCTTCATTTTAATTATTGTATTGTTTTAAAGTGTTTTTGCACTACAAATAAGATATGTGCACTGTACATAGGAATTCATTCATGTTTTGTTTTTGTTTTCAAATCATAATCCAGCCCTCCAACAGTTTGAGGGACTGTGACCTGGCCCTCTCTTTAAAAAGTCTGAGGACCTCTGTTCAGGTGTAAACAGGATGACTGTTAGGGAATGTCAGTTGAGGAATGAATGACTCTTAGAGAAGTGTGTTGAGCCTTGAATGAGCTTCAGTATAAAAGTCTGTAAGAGTTCAGAAGCTCATCTTGATGTCGAACCTGAATTTGAGAGGCTCTGCCTAGGCAGAGACCGGCCAGACCCAAAAAGAGGATCCGGAACACCTGGCGAGACAGCAAGCACCAATGAAGCTTTTCTCTAATTTTTCCCAAAATAGTCTCACCAAGTTGAAGGAAAGCCACCGAGATATTTATTTCATTCCAGCTGGCACGGATGACGACCGCAGTAATCTGTCCAGGAGCTGACATAACTCACTGGGCAGAAAAATACAATATTTATAGCCTTCAGATTCAAAAGTTCCCATGCCCACCCTGAGCTGGTTTTGTAATGAGTGGCTGTGACGTCAGCAAGCCAGGAGGAGATCCAAGGAGTGCCCTGGCCCTGCTTTATCTGCCCAGCCAATGAGGTGGAAGGGAGGCAGGCAACGGGAAAACAATGAAGAAATGTCTAGTTGACTGGATTAAGAATGTCGAGTGTTTACCAAATGACCTGGCGATAGCTTCAGGCTCTCAAGCTTGGTCTGAGTTATTTTTCTGTTTCTTGAATTAACATTTTTGTCTGGCCCTGAAAGGCCAGGTCCTTTGTTTTTACTATCGCGCAATATGGAGTTAATTGATGAAACAGAGATGAGTTTTGGAGATCCAGGTGTGGCACAGCAAGGATGCAGTGACAAATCCCTAGTTCCTCATAGATGAGGAAATGTCCTTGGTGTTGAGTGATCCAATATGTCCACAGACTCCCTTAATCTGGATGACCTGGCTATCAGCCCTCCGATGTCCAGATATATAGAGTCATTTATCTATTGTCCATGCAAATGGATCTGGTTGAATCCTTTGTTAGGGGATTATCAGCTCAGGCAGTTTGGAAACTCCAAAAGCCATGAGTTGCTGGTTTATGAAAAGGTTGCTTTCCTTCATATTTTCTTATATAGACATATATACATATAGGGAATGAGGAATGGGGCAAGGGAACATACACAGAGTTCATAGGAAAAGGGGGAATCATGCAGGGTCTAAGGGGAAGTCAAGTCAGCCCCCCCCCCCCAAAGTCCATAAAAATTTGGCAAGAGTTTATAGAAATTCCTATAAAGCTCATGAAAGTTCATAAGAACTCATAAGAGTTCATGGGGGAGGGGTGCATGGAAGCTCAGGGGAGCACTGAGTAGTCGGGAGTCCATTCATAAAAACAGAAAGAGAGATAGGGATTATGGGATCCATTCAGCCTGGTGTCCTTGGCAAAACCATGAATTCCCTGATTTTGAACTATCTTTTACAGAGCCCTGGAAGTGGGGGGTCACCTCCAATTACCATCTTAGGAAATTAGAAACTGTTGAGGTGTGTGTTTTATTTGAAAGTAAACTCTTATTAAAGAGAGCTGTATAAAACAACATAGTTTATTAAGGAACTGTTAAAGGTTATAAGTTCAAGATACAAACTCTTTGAAACGTTACTGAAGTTTTTAACCCTTGACAAGAAATGTGCCTGTATCTTTAAATACATGAAGTTATCAGTAAACAAAACTTGTTGTCTTTAATAGAAGTCTGGTTGCATCATTTTCTGTTGAAAGTGTCATACCAAAACAAAATATCTACATGCCCAGCGATCATCCATTACCAAATAAACTCTGCTATCCCAATTAGATTGTGATCCTAACAGTTCATGATTTATACCCCGATGGTCAGTGATCCTAACAGGTCATGATCCATTATCGCCAATATAACTCCCATGATTTCATCGCATTGAGCCATGGTAGTTAAATGAAGGTCAAACTGCATTAATTCTATGATACGGATGCACCCTTGGGTAGGTTAATGTTACTTGCTAAAACCTTTAATGGAATGTATGTGAGAAATCCCACTCTTGTCCCTCTTGTTAAGCTTTGGAAAAATCCTTTTGAGTATTTGAAAACCCAATTTCTTATCCACTTAACTGAAAACCCTTCCCTTCCCTTATTATAATTTTGTCTCATCATCCTTTCCCGCTCTTCAAACCTGGCAATTTGTTTTAATTGCTTTTATCATTTATTATTGTTGTTGGCACTGAATGAATGCCTGTTGTGAAGCCGCCCTGAGTCCCCCTCCGGGGGTGAGAAAGACGGGATACAAATATGCGAAACAAATAAATAAATAAGTTATATGGCAATGTGGACTCAGATAAGCCAGTTCAAAGTAGATATTGTGGATGATCTGCCTTGATACTCTTGAGTTATATGGCTGTGTGGAAGGGCCCTGAGACAAGGAGTGCGCAGAAATTGTTTGGCCATGTCCTTCCTTTGAAATATAGCCTACAGGACTTAGTACTCCACTTAGTACTCCACCAACCTGGACGGCTTAGCTTCCATGAGAAAAGCAGTCCCCAACCTGTAGGCCTCTAGGTATTTTGGACTTCAGCTCCTAGATTTCCTGGCTATTGGCCAAGCTGACTGGGGCTTCTGGGAGTTGAAGCCTCATATCTGGAAGACCAAAGGCTGGGAACCAAGGAAACAGAGTGAAGAGAGGGGAGGCCAGGGGACAGTTCCACCTTGTCTCCTGCATATGTCATCAGTTGGAGGCCGCTCAGCCCAGCACCAACTTCCGCTCTGGGCCAGAGTGAAGAAAGGGGGGGGGGCAGGGGACAGTTCCATCTTGTCTCCTGCATATGTCATCGGTTGGGGACCCCTCCCCCCAGCACCAACTGCCGCTCTGGGCCAGAGTGAAGAGAGAAGGGACCCGGGGACAGTTCCATCTTGTCTCCTGCACATGTCATCAGTTGGGGACCCCTCCCCCCAGCACAAAGGCGGTCCTAGGTAATTTTCAACAGTAAGCAAAAAGTATTTGCCCCCCCCCCCCCCGCCAACCAATCACTGATATATATTTTCTGTTCGTCGTGGGAGTTCTGTGTGCCATATTTGTTTCAATTCCACCACTGGTGGAGTTCACAATGCTCTTTGATTGTAGGTGAACTATACATCCCAGTTACTACAACTCGCATATGTCAAAGTCTATTTTCCCCCAAGAGTGCCCCTGGGCAAAATCAACTATACTGCAAATGCTTACTTTGCGTAATGGGTTGAGCCGCCCTGCTTCAATGTCTTATCATGAATGCATTGGGAATAGCTAGTTTCCTTGTCTCCTGCAGATGTCATCAGTTGGGGACCCCTTCCCCCAGCATCAACTGCCGCTCTGGGCAAGAGTGAAGAGAGAGGGGGCCAGGGGACAGTTCCACCTTGTCTCCTGCATATGTCATCAGTTGGTGACCTCCCCAGCACCAAATGCCGCTCTGGGCCAGAGTGAAGAGAAGGGACCCGGGGACAGTTCCATCTTGTCTCCTGCATGTCATCAGTTGGGGACCCCTCCCCCAGCACAAAGGCGGTCCTAGGTAATTTTCAACAGTAAGCAAAAAGTATTCCCCCCCCCCCCCCCCCCCCCAACCAATCACTGATATATATTTTCTGTTCGTGGGAGTTCTGTGTGCCATATTTGGTTCAATTCCATCATTGGTGGAGTTCAGAATGCTCTTTGATTTTAGGTGAACTATACATCCCAGTAACTACAACTTGCATATGTCAAGGTCTATTTTCCCCCAAGAGCGCCTCAAGAGCGCCCCTGGGCAAAATCAACTATACTGCAAATGCTTACTTTGCGTAATGGGTTGAGCCGCCCCTCCTCTCAAGTTAAGGCAGCTGGTGAGCCAGAGTGAAGAGAGAGGGGGCCAGGGGACAGTTCCATCTTGTCTCCTGCACATGTCATCAGTTGGGGCCCCTCCCCCCAGGAAAAAACTGCCGCTCTGGGCAAGAGTGAAGAGAGGGGGGGCCTGGGGACAGTTCCACCTTGTCTCCTGCATATGTCATCAGTTGGGGGCCCCTCTCCCCAACACCAACTGCCGCTCTGGGCCAGAGTGAAGAGAGAAGGGACCCCAGAACAGTTCCATCTTGTCTCCTGCACATGTCATCAATTGGGGACACCTCCCCCAAGTACCAACTACCGCTCTGGGCCAGAGTGAAGTGGGGGGGCAGGGGACAGTTCCACCTTGTCTCCTGTGCTATGCTAATAATATAATATGATGTAATATAATATATTTTATATACATATAATATTTATATTATAATGTAATACAATATATTACTACTAATAATATATTTATATATTTTATATTGCATGTATTATTACTAATAATATTACAATATAATGGTATAGTACAATATAGTAATATATAATACCAATATTGCACTATGTTAATAATATAATATACTGGGTGTATATACATCTTGTAAGCCGCTCTGAGTCCCCTTCGGGGTGAGAAGGCTGCCACATCAATGCCGTAAATCAATAAGCCTCTGCGCGTCCTCTCCGTCGAGTCCTGAGGAATGAAGCGGGGAACGGTTGACCCGCTTCTGTGCCTCCCGCCCCCTCCCCGTCGCCCGCCAATCAGATTACGGCAGCCCCCATACTCGCGCCCTCATTGGCCAAAGGCCGGGCAGAGAAGTCTGGCTGAGCAGTTGGGACTGTTGAGTCCCCTCGCGAGTTCGGCGGACAGTAGTTCCACTCCGAATGAGGCGACGTCATTTCCGCCCAGGAGCCTCCTGAAGGAAAGTGCAGCCATACGGGCTGGGCGAAGGCGGGGATTCTGGCCACGGCTCGAGCCCGCCCCCCACCCTCCCTCCCTCAGAGCGGAAGAAAGGACAAACGGACGCCAGCCGAGCCAAGAACAACGGGCGCCCCTCCCTCAGAGACGGGGGCTCGGGACGGGAGGGGGCTCCAGTTTCGGTGAGGCCAAAAAGCACAATAGGGGCTCGCGACACAAGGGCGTCGGTTGGGATGGCGTGCGCGCGCTCTTGGGGGGAGGGAAAGGGGGCGTGGCGGACAGCGGCGGGCGCGCTGCGCTGCGATTGGCTGCAGGGCGCGCGGACAAGCTAGAGCGATGCGTGCCTCGGTTGGATGGCCGGGAGGGGGTTGCTGTCCTCCCTCGCGAAGTGGAGCGCGCGCCGGGGTTGAGGCGAAGAGACAGGGAGGGGGAGTGGGTTTGGCGCAGGTGCGCATGCGCCGTGGTGGTCCGAGGGGCGGTGTGGCTCCGTGACAGGCGACGCTGAGCCTGTCAAGGCCGGGGGAGCGCGGGGCCGCCGCCACGCCCCCTTCCTCTCCCCTTCACCGGGTTCCCTGCGGGGGCGGGGCATGGACTGGTGAGTGGTAGCCTGTGCTTCCTCGGGGGGCGGCTGGGAGGCCTGGGTTGGGGCCTGGTATTGTGTGGCTGGTGGCCTCCCCTCTCCAGGCAGCAGCAACAGCAGCTAGGCCCCTCCTTCCTCCCACTTCGTCGCTGGTCTTGAAAGGCCTTGCTTACCCAAAGGAAATTTTACTGCCCGGAACGGGAACAGGAGAGCCAGCTTTGAGAACAGGGAGTTATTCATTCCCAACCTTAGGTCCTCCCAGAAGCCCCAGTCTGCTTGGCCTGTTTTGGAAAATGGCTTATACAATCTTTTGGAAAGCACTTTTGGAGATCATAACCTTTTAAGAAAAACATGAGCATTCAGAGAAGAGCCAAAACCCCTTTAGAATCTTCTCTTGTGGTATACTACCAGATCTAATTATGCTAGGCAACGATTTCAGTTGTTAGACTAAATAACCTGTTATCTCTGATCTGTTAGGAAAACAGAGATTTTGCCAGTTCATAAAAAACAGTGGTGCTTCAGAAGTGTAAATATATACTCTTCCATAAAACAATTTGTTATGTATCATGCACTCAAGAGACAAAAATGAAGTAGACTTTGATAAAAAAAATAACATGTTTGGTTTCATAGAATCATAAAGTTGGAAGAGACTGATATCGAGCTAGAATTTAGAGGCCCCTGCCCAGGAGTGAGGAGTCCTTAGACCCACCAGTGAGAGTCCAGTACTCCATCTCAGGTGGCTGAATACCACTTGTCCCTCTAAGAAGTTGGACGCCGACCACTCGGGGGTCGTATAACTAGTAAGCAAGATCTCTTGGGCCATCCAGTCCAACTCCCTGTCAAGAAACAGGAAAATTGCATTCAAAGCACCCCTGACAGATGGCCATCCAGCCTCTGTTTAAAACAGTGGTTCTCAACCTGGGGTCCCCAGATGTTTTTAGCCTTCAACTCCCAGAAATCCTAACAGCTGGTAAACTGGATGGTATTTCTGGGAGTTGTAGGCCAAAAACATCTGGGGACCCCAGGTTGAGAACCACTGGTTTAAAAGCTTCCAAAGAAGGAGCCTCCGCCACACTCAGGAGCAGAGAGTTCCACTGCTGAACAGCTCTCTCAGTCAGGAAGTTCTTCCTCATGTTCAGGTGGAATCTCCTTTCTTGTAGTTTGAAGCCATTCTTCTGCACCCTAGTCTCCAGGGCAGCAGAAAACAAGCTTGCTCCTTCCTCCCTATGACTTCCTCTCACGTATTTGGCTATCATGCCTCCTCTCAGCCTTCTCTTCTTCAGGCTAAACATGCCCAGCTCTTTCAGTCGCTTCTCATAGGGCTTGTTCTCCAGACCCTTGATCATTTTAGTTACCCTCCTCTGGACACATTCCAGCTTGTCAATATCTCTCTTCAACTGTGGTGCCCGGAATTGGACACAATATTCCAGCTGTGGTCTAACCAAGGCAGAATAGAGGAGTAGCATGACTTCCCTGGTTCTGGACACTACTCACAACCTTCATGTGTTCAGCATGCACAGGTGCAAAACTTATCAGTTGAGTTTCAGATATATTTGAGATCATTTTATGTTCCATCCGGCCAGGGCATCTCTCTTATAACAAAACAGCTATCAACAGATCACATAGTCAAAAGGAGAGAAAAAAGTGTGATCTGCAGCCCCTTTTATAACTTCCCAGAAACCATAGAGTAAAGGAATTACACACCAGAACATACAGGAAACAGTGAGCAATAACATTATAGATAAACATTACTAGAGAAGGCTTGAAGAAGGTTGTCCTTTCCCATAGTCTGCAATCAGTAAACCATCAACCTCCATTTAAGACTGATCATCTCCAAAAATAAAACTTGATATGAGCACGTCCCAAAGAAAAAGAAAACCAAGAAGGCAAAATGGTTTGCTGAGACACTGGAAGTAGCCCAAGAAAGGAGGAAAGCAAAAGGAAACAGTGATAAGGGGAGATATGCCCAGTTAACTGCGCAATTCCAGAGGTTAGCCAGAAGAGATAAGGAACTATTTTTAAATAAGCAATGCATGGAAGTGGAAGAAGACAACAGAATAGGAAGGACAAGAGACCTCTTCCAGAAAATTAGAAACATTGGAGATAAATTTCAGGCAAAAATTGGTATGATAAGAAACAAAGATGGCAGGGACCTAACAGAAGCTGAAGAGATCAAGAGAAGGTGGCGAGACTATACAGAAGATCTGTATAGGAAGGATAATAATATTGAGGATAGTTATGACGGTGTGGTGAATGAATTAGAACCAGACATCCTGAGGAGTGAGGTTGAATGGGCCTTAAGAAGCATTGCTAACAACAAGGCAGCAGGAGACGACGGGATCCCAGCTGAACTGTTTAAAATCTTAAAAGACGATGCTGTCAAGGTGATGCATGCCATTTGCCAGCAAATATGGAAAACACAAGAATGGCCATCAGACTGGAAAAAATCAACTTATATCCCCATACCAAAAAAGGGAAATGCGAAAGATTGCTCCAACTTCCGTACAGTGGCCCTTATTTCTCATGCCAGTAAGGTAATGCTCAAGATCCTGCAAGGAAGACTCCAGCAATACATGGAGCGAGAGTTGCCAGATGTTCAAGCTGGGTTTAGAAAAGGCAGAGGAACCAGAGACCCGATTGCCAATATCCGCTGGATAATGGAGAAAGGCAGGGAGTTTCAGAAAAACATCTACTTCTGCTTCATTGACTATTCTAAAGCCTTTGACTGTGTGGATCATAATAAATTGTGGCAAGTTCTTGGTGGGATGGGCATACCAAGCCACCTTGTCTCTCTCCTGATGAATCTGTACAAGGACCAAGTAGCAACAGTCAGAACTGACCACGGAACAACAGACTGGTTCAAGATTGGGAAAGGCGTACGGCAAGGCTGCATACTCTCACCCAACCTTTTTAACTTGTATGCAGAACACATCATGTGATGTGCGGGGCTTGATGAATGCAAAGCTGGGGTAAAATTGCTGGAAGAAACATTAACAACCTCAGATATGCAGATGACACCACTCTGATGGCCGAAAGCGAGGAGGAGCTGAGGAGCCTTCTAATCAAGGTGAAAGAAGAAAGCGCAAAAGCTGGGTTGCAGCTAAATAAAAAACCAAGATTATGGCAACAAGAATGATTGACAACTGGGAAATAGAGGAAGAAAACGTGGAGGCCGTGACAGACTTTGTGTTTCTAGGTGCAAAGATTACTGCAGATGCAGACTGTGGCCAGGAAATCAGAAGACGCTTACTTCTTGGGAGGAGAGCAATGTCCAATCTCGATAAAATAGTAAAGAGTAGAGACATCACACTGGCAACAAAGATCCGCCTAGTCAAAGCCATGGTATTCCCTGTAGTAACCTACGGATGTGAGAGCTGGACCTTAGGGAAGGCTGAGCGAAGGAAGATCGATGCTTTTGAGCTGTGGTGTTGGAGGAAAGTGCTGAGAGTGCCTTGGACTGCGAGAAGATCCAACCAGTCCATCCTCCAGGAAATAAAGCTCGACTGCTCATTGGAGGGAAGGATACTAGAGACAAAGTTGAAGTACTTTGGCCACATCATGAGGAGACAGCAAAGCCTAGAGAAGACAATTATGCTGGGGAAAGTGGAAGGCAAAAGGAAGAGGGGCCGACCAAGGGCAAGATGGATGGATGGCATCCTTGAAGTGACTGGACTGACCTTGAAGGAGCTGGGGGTGGTGACGGCCGACGGAGCTCTGGCGTGGACTGGTCCATGAGGTCACGAAGAGTCGGAGACGACTGAATGAATGAACAACATGAGCACAAGCCAGAAAATACCACGGAAAATGGAGATGCAAAAATACTCTGGTATTTTAGAATCAAAACAGATATATGTCACGTAACACACTAGATATAACAGTTGGGGAAGAGAAACATGTTTTTATTGTAGACATTGCAGTACCAGGAGACAGGAGAGTAGAGGACAAAGAGCTGGAAATAATCACACAATATAAGGACTTACAAATTGAAATTGGACAACTATAGCAAAGGAGAACAACAGTGGTACCAGTAGTGGTTGGTGCTCTTGTAGCCATTCCGAAAAGCACTTGAAAAGCCTTATTTTCGACAGACATCAATCCACATGCTGCAGAAGGCAGCACTTCTTGGAACTACGCACATTCCACAAAAATACCTCTAATATCCTAGGCCCTTAGGAAGAGCCCGATATTCAGAGATGAATCCTAGACACTTGAACCTAATGTTCATGTGTGCTGTGATGTTATGTACCTTTAAATAATAATAAAAATGTTATTTGTTACCTGCCTTTCTTAACAGCTGGAGGCTGGATACAACACGGTCAAAACATGTCAACATAAAATACACACAACAAAATACATATATCAAAGCAAAGAGTACAAAGCTCAACATACAGTAGGAATAGAATGTCAATCCAAAACTCTTGATTCAAAGTTGCCTGGGTAGGCCTGCAGGAATAGATGGGTATTCAGCTGGATCTTACATTCTGATTGCTAATTCAGATGTTGAAGCTCTTCTGGTAGGTCATTCCACACTTGTGTGGTGACCAATGAAAAGGACATCTGGGTGATGGCCGCCAGTAGGATTCTGGCTGTTTGGATTTATCGTCCCACAAAGAATCTCAGTGTCTGAAGGGGCGGATTGTGCAGGAGAAGATAATCTAGATCCAAACCATGCAGGGCTTTAAAGGTAGCCTCTTAGGTTCAATCTACAATGCCATATAATGCAGTTTTAGAATGCAGAGTAACTTCATTGAATTGGATTATATGGCAGTGTAGACTTATACAATCCAGTCTGCACTATATGGCATTGAAGATGTGGCCTTAGCCCCTGTCCCTCACAACCTTGGATTTTTTAAATCCTGATTATTGGTTGTGCTGGTTGGGACTTTTAGTACTTGACACTAGAATCAAGACCAGTGTTTGGGAAATACTGCTCAAAAATCAAAAGGAAACAACTTTATATGCCTCCATGGTTTTATTGAATTATAGCTCCTTGATTCATTCACCCGTTTTGTTTT